TTTCTTTTCAATGTTCTATTGACGAATTAAAAAGGAGGAGAAATTCGTGAGACATTCGTAAACAAGTGTAGGAGGAAGCGCAAACGGGTTCGCAAATTGAGTAGGTATGCGAACCCATTTGCACAGCCGCTAGGTTTGCGAATGAATGTTTGACGGCCCTTCACATGCGCGCAAACATTCGTACAATGTACGAATATTTGCGCGCATGTCAAAGAACGAATTTTTTTTTGTAGAGTTGTGTTATCCATAGATTATACACTTAATATATTCGGTGTTAGGTACTTATTAACTCCATGGTGTTATCTCTTGAATTTTTTTTTTATTGCCTTTGTAGGCAGACGGGCATACGGCCCACCTGATGGTGAGTGGTTACCGTTGGATGATATCATCTCGAACAATTTCTCAGAGCACTCCCCATGGAACATACGGTACAAAATACAGAGGGAACCGAAGTCCCTCCGCAGACCCAGAGGTTCCAAAGGTTGAATAACCAGTAATCTTTATTTCAATGAGTGCTTTATTCATTTTCCAGTTACCACATAATATGGACAATTATTATGGACAATGGAATCGGTGTTGCAGGTTCGCATGAAACCAGGCTGTATTCTCACAAAATTTGAATGCCAGATAGTTAGAAAAAAATGAACAGCTAAAATTATTATAGATAACAGAAAAGATTAATTTCATGTACTTTTTACCATAATTTATCAATTCAACCAATAACCATTAAAATAATTGTCTGTTAACATACATACCTAATAGTTTACGCCCTTAATATTTAGGAAAAAGTAAATTGTAAAATATGTACTAAACACTTTGTCAACTTTGTTTGATTCATTGTTTGTAAAAAGAAGTGCAGATTGTATGTGGTCCTGCATTTTATTTGTGTCTAATAATCTGCTATTTTTACTTTTTAGTTTTGAGTGACAACTTATAAGGAAATTTAACAGAAAACATTCCCTCGAGAACGAATGATAAGTCTATTCAAGTATTTATTTCTCACAAGTTCAGAAGTAAAGCCGTTCAAACAGAAAATAAATTAATAAATCAGATGACATCACCCTTGAAACCTCATACCCATTCGGTTTCTACATCACCATTTAAAGTTACAAGAGGCAATTTCGTGTTCCCATGGACATCCACCTTACATAAACCTACAAGGCTAATACTATATCCCCCTGAAGATCAATCTGATAGTGATACTTCTTTTACACCATCTGTAATGCACAGAGAATAATCGCCATCAACAATATCTCAAAATAAATTAATTTATATTAGACTGCAGTGAGATGATACAAGTCGATAAAAAACAGGAAGCATCTAAAATTCTGGAATGTACCTTACTTAAAATTACAAAGAGCCCGCGATCTTACATTGGAATTCCCAAAAGCTGTTATTACTTAATTGATTTCATAGAAAAACACACCGGTAAAATGGAGTGATTCGGGACAAATTCCAACTTGATGAATAATTTTAAGGTAGTTGTTGATGTTTAAAATGCTATATCAGGATCAAAATGATTGAGTCTTGGGGCTATCTTTGTTATCCAATTTAAAGCTATGCAATTAGCATTCTAGTTTAAGCAAAAATAGGTGCTATCTCTATTTACCCAGAAATTGTGGTTATTGGGGACGAAATTAGTGTTAATAGAGAAATTTGCTAGGGCTGGCACTCCTTGGTTTTAATTAATTAATTTGTTTAGTTGCACCAACAAAGTGATCATCGATAAAAAACATTGAAAAATATTTACTTGGGAAATTATCCGCGACAGATTGTTCTTGTAAGTTGTGAGACAATTAGAAAAAACATCTATTTCATCACTTAAAATTAGTTCAGCGCAATCGGACAATTCCGAATGAAAATTGACGGGACCGCGCCTTCGTGGAGATTATTGTAGTCCCAAAGGATTCTGTTTAAAGGAGAGTAAGCACCTAAATTCGAACGAGCGGGCTTTCTTATAAGCAGTTTATATTTCTTTGTTCTTAGTAAGTACTTAGGGGCTGATATTTTTACCTGGATTAAGAGATTAGGTGTGTCCGTTATCCCATGAATTAATCAGGTGGATACTAATGGTTAATATTTGTTCAGAGTCCCCACTCTGAACAAATATTAACCTCTATATTTTATTAAGTATTACTTACACATTTTTGTCCACCTTGAGATTTCATCGTTCTTGTTACATGTCTTTACGTTACATTTACTTATGGTAAATTGCTTAGGTATTTCAACTAAAGACTTTTCCTAATTCCATAGGCTTCTATTACTGTTTTTAATATTAAGGGATCATATCCCTTATAAGGATCACTCTTTGATACGTACACGCGAGGCACGTCTAAAAATAGAAAATAACATGTAACTGATAACATAAATATTTGCCAAACAATTAAATAACACTGCATTGATAATTTTGAATAAAAATTCTAGACAAAAACATCATGAATAAACCAGATTCTTACCAACAAATTTAAAAAATATTGTTATAACTACATAGACAGCCCTACAAACCTGTACATATTTATACTTAGTTCGTTTCCATTTTACTTATTCTCATCCCAATTGACCCCTTTTTCGTTCTTATTTATACCTGACACGTCCCCAATATCCCCAAAAACAACAGATTTTTACATGTATTTTTATTTTATCAAAAACATTAAAACCAATAACAACTGATACTTAATGGTTCAAACTCTAAATAACGTTTATAAATCACAGTCGTCTTCTATTATTATCAGATAAATAAAAGAAATCAAAGTTTCTAACACTAAAATAATAATTACCACCACTAAAAGTTAACTTGAAATGTGATTTTTTATAAGTTAGCAGCTATTATCATGCATATTCAGAGTTGTTTTGTGAACTGTCAACATTCTACTATTACACTACAAAAAATAGAAGATTTTGCAACGATTATAAAACTAATATTGAGCGTCGAAAGATTTTCTTGGTTTTTTCCCCATTCGCCTCTCAATCCCTAATCGCCCCATTTTACGGTACTAATATTCCTGCTAACAAAATATACTCATGAGTCTAAACAAAATTAGATTAAATAACCCATTTAGAGAGCTTGCTGATGGCTTTTGTGGAACTTCTGTTGTGAAAATGGTAAACTACGATTCTCTTCTTCTTCTTCTCAGTCGTGTCACTCTTGACAGAGTGGTCGTGATCGTCATGTAGTGTTGGAAGGGGCAGACTTGATAAAATATATTTTATTATACGATTATAAAATATATTTTAGCGACAGGTAAAGCGAATACAATAAGTTTTTTTGTTAAAATTGCAGTAATCGCGCCTAAACTCAAACGAAACAAGATGACGTTTACTAAGACGTGACATCATTCGCTCTGATTAGTGTTTAAGGTTTCAGCCATCATGGCTGATTGTTGTATTTTGTTGATTTATTTTAACAAACAACAAGAGGAATTGTTCGAGACGATACCGGCATCTCGTTTTTACCATCGCACCGCCCGCCACCGGAGTAGAGTTCATCCATACTACCTGGAGCCACTGCGGTCATCCACAGTGCGTTTCCAGAGATCTTTTTTGCCACGTACCATCCGGCTATGGAATGAGCGCCCCTCCACGGTGTTTCCCGAGCGCTATGACATGTCCTTTTTCAAACGAGGCTTGTGGAGAGTATTATGCGGTAGGCAGCGGCTTGGCTCTGCCCCTGGCATTGCTGAAGTCCATGGGCGACGGTAACCACTCACCATCAGGTGGGCCGTATGCTCGTATTCCTACAAGGGCAATAAAAAAAAAACAAACAAACAAATCATAAATCTCGTCATTAATATACCTAAACACATTTTTCAAAATCTAGGAATCCTGTTTCATTAGATCAGTTATATATTTTAGCGATACTTGACTACTGTCATCATGCCTATTCGTCGAAACCCCATTAGGAAGCAAAAAAAAACTTGTGATTCAGAGATGAATCTGTTGATGTGTGTAGCTCATGGAGTTAATAAGTACCTACAACTGGAGTGCTGTCTGATGCCGAGAAATCGGTCTCGAAAGAGAATACTTTTTGGTCGCGGTGTCCTTGTCTAATGTGGTGACCATATAAAATTTATTTATAGGATAAAATTATACACATGCATCAGTTTTGAATTTACCTTAAGTAATTCTGTGTAACCCTATGTAAATACAAAACACGTGCTNTAAGCTAGCAACACTGCTTTTTGTTTGTAAAATGTGCGAGAGGGACACCACCACTTAATAATCATTCTCTTTTCAGACCGTTTTTCCTTACATCTTTTGCTATTTAAAAATAAACTTTAAGCCATAGAGATAAAGTATATTTTTAGTTTTTATGTCAAACGAAGTAAGCACTCCAGTTAGAATAGTAACTCTATGGTGTAGCTATAGATCACAAGCGTCGTACATATCGTTCATGAAGAACCTTGTATACTCGATGTTTTAGGTTTAAAATCGATGCATATGAACGATACATCGATGTTTGAGAAATCTTAAATAAAGAAAGAGACCAAAAATGTTACGCTGATTTAATATTAAGCTATAACATAAATAAACTTAGAGCTACAAATAGAATTGTTTCGATCACGAACAAGATGTTTAAATTATATAAATCTTTCTAAAAGAGCGAATTTATTTATCGGTAACCAGTTCTTTATATCCTATCCAGAAAATATCTAGCACTGATTTCTAAATAGATCATTCTAATATAGTTTTTATATCGTTATATAGTTTTCAATCATATAGTTTTTTGCTAACAATCGTAGTTATTCATTAAAGGTTGACTGACACTTGATAATACTAAGCCTATTTATTTAAGCGGATTCGTCACCGCTTTCCTCCATCTTGCTTTCGGCAGACTCTACTAATCAGACAGTTGTTTTTTAAATGATTAAAAAAGGAGTTGTATATTTGATCGGAAATAGTTAACCCTTTTTTCAGTGTCATGTTTTGCCCAACTCTGGCCATAAGTATAAATATTGTGTACATTAAGACTACAAAATAATGTACTATAGCAATCTACGTACTACGTAGTACGTACGTCAAGCCGACTCAAGCCTGCCCTCAGGTGCACGTGCGTCGTACACGCGACTACGTGAGCGTGACCTACTATTGGTTCGTCGAATAACGTTGTTTGTAGTCACGTGGGCTACTGTCGTATATTTCGTTTGTAATTTGTTTTGTATCCACATCCACAAGGAACAGTGCGAACCTTACCCAACGAAGGAGAAATACGTAATTAAAGCGTTCAGTGGTTAAAGTGTCTGTTTCGTTTGGGGTTTTCGTTCATATAGTTTTCCTAGTTAACATTACTAACTAAAATAACTTGTGTGAAATAAAATTTAAAATAATTATGGGATAAAGTGTAATAAACATATTTACGTAAGTATTTGGATTCTTAATTTTGAAATTTGTTATCCATAGCATTAGTATTTAATGAAAATGAAAAATATTACAAAAAATATGTTTCTAAATATGTTGTGTTCAGAAGTATTCTTCGTTGTGAAGTATTTTGAGAAGCAGTTCGCTTCTCCTTTTACAATTTTCGAATGAAACTAAATACCGCTCTACTGTGTACCCTCGTTCTATCATCCGCATCCATAATATATGCCATCATTTAACTACACACATTGATTATGTGTTTTATTTGGAGTATAAAAAAGCGTGGGGAACACCGAGCCCTGTGGTACGCCAGCAGTATCGGACATGTTATCGATGCAGCAGTCTCCGAGATCAATTTTGATACTCCGTCGAAGGAATTGATGATATGTACCAAGTTTCACATTAAGAAGCGTGTTAACGCGAAGTAACGATTTACTATAGACTTCAAGCGGCCATGGCATTATCAGATTAATCTCAGCAACGACGTCACTAATTTACTATAGGTACTACTATGACCTCCCAGTCTCGAAGGAGAGTGTTATAGCAGAAGCGATAGCTATTGACCACTGAGTTTCTCGCCGGTTTTTTTCAATGGATAAGGTGGACATTGGTGACAACTACGAAATTGGTACTTTTTGAAATATCATATTAATGCGGATCTCGATTCGGAGGCACACCTCTTTAGTACCAATGCGTTGATGCAATCGGCCCGTGTGACTTATGGACATCGAGATGTCTGAGTTATTCCTAATTGACTGCACGGTGTGTGATGCGTGTCTCAGGTGGAGATATATCATCTGAGGGACGGCGGATGTTGTGGTTTCTCTACCGTTAAAATTTTAGTCGGAGGCTAAGAGTAAGTCCTACACAGTATGGGCCTTCTTCTGCCGTTGTAGTATGCGCCAGACTACTACCAGACTTACGCAGAGGCTATAAGGTCGGCAAAAAATATTCTTCGTAGCCTTCGATTCTGATCTCTGAGCCTGGATGCGAAATATGATTTGAATGTTTTTTTTTTATTGCTGACTAGGCAGACGAGCATACGGCCCACCTGATGGTAAGTGGTTGCCGTCGCTCATGGACGTCAGCAATGCCAGGGGCAGAGTCAAGTCGCTGCTTAGCGTTTAATACTCCACTAGCCTCGCGAGAAGAAAAACATGTCATAGCGCTCAGTGAAGACCGGAAAGGGGAGTTCATTCCAAAGCCGGATGGTCCGTTGCAAAAAATATCTCTGGAAGCGCACTGTGGATGAACGCAATGGCTCCAGGTAGTATGGATGAACTCTACTCCGGTGGCGGGCAGTGCGATGGTAAAAACGAGATGATAGAATCATTTCAAGTAACTCCTCAGAGCACTCCCCATGGAACATACGGTACAAAATACAGAGGAAACCGAAGTCCCTCAGCAGTCCCAGCGGTTCCAAAGGATCCGTGAGAATGGGATTACCAACAATCCGAACGGCTTTCTTCTCTATCAAGTCAAATGGAAGTAGCTGCTATTTGGAAGCCACAGCCCAGAGTTGGGAGCAGTACTCCACGCGAGGCCGGGCTTGTGCTTTGTAAAGCGCAGAAATATAGAAAAACACATTCACTTGCGTAGAAACACGAAAAGCGTTTCATCCATAGATTTTGCACTTAATATATTTGAGGTTTAATCTATGCGAATAACAATAGAAATTAAAAACCTGCCTGTGCCAAGATAATTGAGACGTTGACGTTACTTTTACTACAGGAATCCGTGGTATAATCGATTGCACCAAATCGATTACTTATATACTTAGAGAATCGTGGCACAACTACAATGGTGGTAATTCAAAATAATAATATCGCTAACTGGCACCATTAAAATATATAACACGAAAGGGTATAAATGTTGCAGAGGTTTACAAGGATTGTTTAAAACAAAAAATAGAATTCTACTTATTTTTTACACTTGGCCATTGCCAATGAAGCTAAGATTTCAATAGGTTAATCAAGCAAAATAGACGAATTTTTTGGTACATATCCCATTCGTGTAACGCTTAGGCCCAGAATGGGGTTTCTCCTTTCTGTCTTTTCTCCGAACTGTCAGGATCCCGGCGTCTCCTAACATCATTCCATGCCGCGTATGCCGACCGCTTGAGGCGTGTAGCATCCTTACTAGCTTTATTATACCGAGGTTTTACTGCGACCCTCAACGGGCACCTCCGAAGAAGGAATGAATAATTACATTCCCTGAAGCACCACGCCTTTAAGTCGATCCGCACAGACGTTAGGATCATCGGAGGAAAAGTAGAGCCGCCTCCATGGGTAGGATGCGTAAAATTCACAGGTTCCATCCCAATCTGCTGACCTGTACCGCCCAAATCTTCGAAACCCGGTCGTCGTTCAACGACCAGGGCGAGAGGGTGGTATCGCAGAACGGATAAGCCAGTAATCAGACGATCCAAGGGGAGCGTCGACCGCCGCACTGTATCCAGCTAGAGGAGAGTGGTTAGCAGAAGATCCAACAAAGAAGGCTCGTGAATCTCAGTGTCTGGAACATGGTTGGGTTGAATCACTAGTTGAGAGAGGCCGTAGGACAAGGCGAATTCGTAGGCAGCCTGACCTGGGAGGTCAGTGGTTCTGGACCCCAACCACTCCTGGCGAGGAGCGTTAAAGTCACCAAGGACCACCGCGTCCGCAGATGAGTACTGCTCAAGCACGCAGTTAGTCCCCTTTTGTACATGTTCAAACAGAGTTGACCCCGCATTACAGCTGTGGGACCTGTACAGGCAGGTGTGGACTCTGGTACAACCCCTATAGTCCATGCGTAGCCACAGGAGGGTTAGATCTCTCGATTGCTCGAGGCCCCGAAGCTGACGACTGCAGACATCCCCCCGGATAAACACGCACATCCCGGCTTTACGCAGGAAGGTGTGCACCAATGCGTAGCCGGGGTATTCGAGGTACGAAGCATCATCCGAGGCAGATTTTTGCGTCTCAGTCCGGTAAAAGAGGACAGGTTGTGTCGTCTCAAGGTGGTGGTGTACGGCATCAACGTTGCTGTGTAGGCCCCTGACATTACTGGACTACACATTAAACGTGGAATGGGGATCCGCCGAAAAAACTCTTTTTCTTTTGTCGACTTTTATTTCTTTTTTGGTTGGAGAGTAAAGATTTGGTGAAATAGGATGCTAGTGGTGAGATCAAGGCCACCTGAATAAAGTATAGGGCCCAATGGATACTCGATCCGGGGTTGTGAGAGGAGCTGACGCAGGGCATGGGAGGCCCCCAGTCCACCCTGCAGACGATCGGCGGGATCCACTCCGGACTCCCGACTCCGGCACGACGACCGCATGCCAGGATTTTACACCGGTTGGCGGGACAGCTTCCCGGGGCGGAGTTTAGTAGTGACACTCGAGTTCAGGTCCCCTACTGATCGGCGGGTGGCGGCACACACTGTTTCACTGGGTCTCTTTATACCCCCGTCAGCAATCCACGTCCCGCGGACTTGTGAGCACGTTTGCTCTGCATGCTCCAAGTATCACCAAGACTTACCCCCAACAAGGAGGAAGAAAGGAAAGGAAGATTACTGAACCTGGCTAGATACATGAGTCTAAGTCACGATTGTGTACTATAACGGCTCTCGCCCACATTAAACTGGTAAGCATAACTGCCGTGCGGTAGAAATACATAGGTAGGGTGGTACGGTAGTTATATAAATTGATGTACTTTAGCGGGTGTGTTTTTCTAATTCGTTTCATTGAATAAAAAAAATATCCAACCTTTTGTAGTATGAACTAAACCAGGTGTACCAGTTTCCATATATTCCATATAATAATATTTGTCTATTATGATAGGTATATTTGATGTCCTATTTGTTTGTGGTAGAGCTGCCAGACCAAGGTCGCATTTTCAATAAATTTACAACTATTTGGCTGCTCTGTTTGTTCGAGCTTATCTTTGAAATAGCTGCCCTATTATTTTAGGTTCCCATCATTTTGTTGACAAGACTTTTCATAAATCAATTAGGCTGCTTTTAATACATTTGGTTCTCTTGGTTCCAGCGTAAATAAAAATTGAAACACCCAATCTTACACACGAGACCACTTTGATTTGATATTTGAATTAGCTAATATCAGTAGAACATTTGTTACGTTTTTTTTTCTGCCTAAGCTGATAGCCTTGAGAGGCTATTTCAGCTTCACCCATAACGCGTGTAGGTGAGCTCACGGGGCTCAAACCGGAGTGTTGCTAACACTGACCCTAGCAAGAGCAGTGCCTCGCAGAATCTACCACCGGATCGGAAACGCGACCCACTGAGAAGATCCGGTGAGAAACTCAGCGGGCTGTGTCTATGGGTTAATTCGTTCGTCGAGCCCTTCGTCGCAAGCGTTCGACGAGGACGGTGACCGGGCGTAACGTGAAAAAACAGAAATCTTATGTTTCTTATATAATAATGATTTTTATGTGTATCTAACGCTACCGAGCGTAGGACTCACCCCAGGGAAAATATTGCTTATTTCTTGGTTTTGCAATGATTTCGGTCGCTGAGAAAATTTCTCTTCTAGTTTCCAATATAAAAGCCATACGAGTTATAGTTTCCACATACATCTAAAGCAGCGCCAGAGTACTCTCACGTTATAATTGTAGACCCGAAAATATATATATGTATGTTTTTCTTTGTTACAGGAACAAAATGGAATGGGTTTTAAGAAGTCCACAAATCCACAGCAGTTTCGGGAATCTTGGTTTCCTACATGCTGATGGATATCACGTAAACGAGAATTGCAACAGTAAGTCATTATGCAAAAAATAATTGTTTTAGGTCCAAATTTAAAGTCTCCTAGGAAATTTATTGGTAACGAAAATAATTTAATTTGATGTATTAAATAAAATATAAAATACACGTCAAATACATTGCCTATTACTGTAGTTGCATTGAAAAGCTCCAGGCGTCCAAAATTAAAGTGTCCCAGAAAATTTATTGGTAACGAAAATTATTTGATTTGACGTTAAATAAAATAAAAAATACACGTTAAATACATTGCTTATGACTATAGGTGTATTGAAGAGCTCCAAGCGTACCATATAATAAATGGTTACCGGGTCTTATAGATAGCACAACGTGACTAATGAAGGATATTGAATGAGTTAAATATCAGAATAACTTGAAAATGAATTCGGAAATATTTTAAAGTACTTAATAATGAACTCCCCTCCACGGTGTTTTCCGAGCGCTACATGTCCTTCTTCAAACGAGGCTTGCGGAGAGTACTTTATGGTAGGCAGCGGCTTGGCTCTGCCCCTGGCATTGCTGACGTCCATGAGCGACGGTGACCACTTACCATCAGGTGGGCCGTATGCTCGTCTGCCTACAAAGGCAATAAAAAAAATAATAATAATAGGATTAACATACATAATCTTGTTACTCAATGTACTATTATTCTGTTACAGATGTCCTGGAATCTATTTTACACAATATTTTAAGTGAAGACGAGTATTTGCGAACGTATCGTAGAAGCATCAGTTTTGGGCAGAATGTCAAGAAGGACCTTATACCACTTTTAATCCATACTAAAGATGATAAAACTATTGAATTATTAATAAGGATACTAGTTAATTTGACTATTCCTATCGAATGTTTGCTTTCTGTTGATGAAATCTCCAAAAATGATTTCGGACGTCATACTATATTCGAAATAAACAATTTACTTGCAACAACGAAAATGGCATTTACAGATCAACGAGCAACTAAAGTTGTAATAGATTTTTTAAAAAAGAATTTTGATCTTGAACAAAAGACAATGTTAACCATTGAGCAATGTACAAATATAAGTAACAGCCTACTTTTGCTGAGAAATATATTACACATACCAGAGAAAACTCCCACTCAGAGTCCAACTTTCAACGGGCCTGTTCACTCGATCCAAAACCAAATCATATGGAATATCTTTAGCCAAAGTATCGACAAAGTCCTCATTAAGTTGATGATAATTCCTGATGCGGTAAGCTACGATGACTTCATTTTTCAAATTTAATTAGTTATCCATTATAAAAACAAAAAGACCATGTTCTATTTGTGTATTTTATCAATATATGTGATATAGATACTTTGTGTTTCAAAATATATGGGGAGTAAGGAACCCGAAATCGTAATAATAATTTATTAAATATCTCAATCGACGACCTGAATATAAAAGGGAATAATGTTCACTTTGCTAAAAAAATTATGAATCTTTGTTGTTTTGTGAAGTTCATTAGTGAATCCGCAATTAAAATAACTGTATAATAATATCCCGGTTTCACTGAGGCCTGCCTGCCTCGAACCTGTGGGTCACCTAATTTTCAGTTATCACCATGGCGTATTTTATCAATTGCTAAAATGTAATTTATCAAACTAAATTTTAGGGTTACTTAGCTGTAGTAGAGAGTATAGTCTACAAATCGACAAGAAATAGTGTTACAGAATTTGAAAAAAAAAAGTGGTGCCTTAGAGGTTACTGGCAGTTAAAACCGAGCGCATAAGCGTGTGGGGGACGTAGATATCACTACATAGTATAAAACAAAGTCGCTGTCTCTGTCTCTATATCCCTATGTATGCTTAAATCTTTAAAGCTACGCAACGGATTTTGATGCGGTTTTTTTTAATAGATAGAGTGATTGAAGAGGAATGTTTATATGTATAATAACATCCATTAAATAGTGGAGAAATCAATAATAAATTACAGTTTCCGAAGCGAAGCGAGGGCGGGTCGCTAGTGTCTTATACCTAATCTGAAATGAGTTTTAATTGTAGTTTTAATGCGAGGTAAGATATTTTGTACTATGAAGACTTTCCAGATTGTAAAAAATATCCGCTACCTCTAAATTTTCAAATTGGTGGTGGTAAATTTTTGAAACAGTTGAAATTGCCAAAATAAAAATATTGTTACGTCGAAGTTTGTGACGTCGTAACGTCCACGTAAGTCGAAGTGAAAGAAGTGTTTCTTAGTTAAGCAATCAGCGAATCGGTAGGATTGAATTAAATATTCAATTTCAAACGTGAACATTCGTCTCATTTGTTTGTGTAACTAACTACTTCACCGTGCGTCGTCGGATACGTACTTGTCCAGTTTTTACATCCTTTCCATCAAATCTTGTTGTAACGGTGTATAATAATGCATGAATGTAGTTGAATCTTCAATTAGTTTTACATCCATTTCTAAATTTTGTGTCGTCATTTTTTTTTTCATTTATTAACAAAAAGTCAAATCAAAATAGTTTAACATAACTCAACCCACACAGTAGAACAGATCTTCCAACGCGCTTGAAGGAGGCACAGTCCCCAAGATACTGGCTACGTTGCCTCGTTGGACAGCCAGACTCACTCTCTGTGCAAAGTACCTACCAGCCAGCCTTAGCATCATGTGTAACCTCCTTCAAGCGTTTGGAGATTTCTGTTAAAAACTTGTGTCGTCATTAAACTTGTCAATTAAGTGTTTTTTCTGTTTGATCTGGTCTGACGACGAATCTAGGAAGTTTTTTTTTTATTGCTAGATGGATGGACGAGCTCACAGCCCACCTGGTGTTAAGTGGTTACTGGTGCCCATAGACATTTACGACGTAAATGCGCCACCCACTTTGAGATATAAGTTCTAAGGTCTCAAGTATAGTTACAACGGCTGCCCCACCCTTCAAACCGAAACGCATTACTGCTTCACGGCAGAAATAGGCAGGGAGGTGGTACCTACCCTCGCGGACTCACAAGAGGTCCTACCACTAGTAATTACGCAAATTATAATTTTGCGGGTTTCATTTTTATTACACGATGTTATTCCTTCACCGTGGAAGTCAATCGTGAATATTTGTCGAGTACGTATTTCATTAGAAAAATTGGTACCCGCCTGAGATTGGAACACCGGTGCATCGGTCAACACGAATGCATCGGACGTCTTATCTGTTAGGCCACGACGACTTCAATGTTAGTAAAGGAAAACAACTTTTCGTCACTAGTTGTATTGTAAGCCCACAACGGTATGCATATATCATCGTCCTCCTTATTTCGGTTACGAAGCAGACGTGTCTTTCAGTTTGAAAGGTGGAACATCCATTATAAAATTCAATTGAGAATTCGATCTTATGTTTCAAGGCTCAGATAACCACTTACTAGTAGGTGGGCCGTGTGTTCGATCGTCTATTTATGCAGTTAATATATAAAAAACAAGTACACTCATTAAGTTTGTCTTAAGAAATACTATTGCGTCTTAATATAGGTATGCGTTATTTTGTTCTGTATTTTCATTATCTCTTGAACAGAACCCTACCACATACCTTTCGAACGGTATCCCCACACCGACTAATACCTCAGTTTAAGAATCTAGATGTGTGTTTTGTATTTTTTTTATTTTTAGGCAAAATGGGCGGTTACAATGATTCAATTCATAGCCTTGCTTTATAAAAATCAACATGCTGTGACATTACACAAACTCCTCAATTTATGGTTAGAGTCATCTTTGTCAGAAAGCTCTGAGGATAACGAGAGCAATACCTCTCCGCCGGATCGTGGTACGTTACGCCCACTACACCTATCTAAAATAAAATTAAAAATATTTTTAAACATCATTAAACTATTTTGTAAACTTTAGTCTAACTATGCGAACAAAGCATACCTCTGCATTTTAAAGCCTTCAAATAATATTAAGGTTTATCACACGTAGCTGTCAAAATTGTGGAGGCAAATCTCAATAAGGTAATATCTTAAACTAATATTTTGAAACAAATTCAGGAAGTGATGACTCCTCACCGATATTGACGTCAGATCCCACGTCCGATTCGTCAGACACAGGGGGCAGCGGTAAGAGCAACGATGAACCAAATTCAGTGAATAACGGATGGGATGCTTCTTCTGTTAATAACACTAGTGAGAACGGAAGCCAGACCTCTCAGACGCACAATGATTCTGAGTCACCAAGGAAAAATGCGGAAAATATTGCAGAGGGCTCCATGAAAGATGTAAATGTAAGTGTCGCTCTCAAACCAGACTCGCGTCTTTCTATAAAAGTTAGTAACCATGAACCGATTTATCTATTTGTTTATTTATACGATCGTGTGAGCATGATTGAAAAGCTACTGGGTCAATAAAACTATCAGTTGAGTTTTAAAATTTATAGGTATGTTTGGGTACTAATTGTATTTTAAACGCATGTTGAATAATAATTAGATTAAACGTAACAATAAGATAGAAACCAAGCAATGAAAACCGTTGATACCTACATCATCTTCTATTGGTGGTAGGACCTCTTGTAAGTCCGCACTGGTAGGTAACACCACCCTGCCTATTTCTGCCGTGAAGCAGTAATGCGTTTCGGTTTGAAGGGTGGGGCAGCCGTTGTAACTATACTTAGAACGTAGATCTCAAAGTGGTTGGGGCATTTACGTTGTAGATATCTATGGGCTCCAGTAACCACTTAACAGCCAGCTGGGCTGTGAGCTCGTTCACTCATCTGAGCAAAAAGCAATAAAAATAAATCTAGTTTTTTATGAAAGCAGTAAATACTCATTCATTGAAAAGCGAATATTTTCATCATTTTCAGGAAGCGAAATCGGTAACGTTTTCAGAGAGTAACACGGAAGCGACTAAAGATGTGCCAGCAGGTGAAGACAAAATGAAAGCGGTCATATCGGAAAATTCCGATTGCGGTTACGGTACTCAAATTGAAAACCAGGAGTCCGTTTCAACGTCCAGTAACGATGACGAACTACCCTCTGAGAAGCCGGTTCACCAGAAACCGCATAATCCAAAACAACGGGTCAACACCAAATCTCGTAGCGGGGTAACGGTGCAAGAACGGAAACGTAAAAAAATTGTCAAAAGAGGAAAATCTAACATGTAGGTTGAATTTTTGCACTATCACCAACATCAGTCAACTGTGCTCGCAATAAAATAAATGTATTTTATTACAGAATCAACGTACAAGGGCTGTCTCATAAAACTCCAACTGACGACGACATATCTAACATCTTGAAAGAGTTTACTGTCGATTTCTTATTGAAAGGCTACAACGTCCTTGTTCAAACACTTCACAGTCAGATACTCACGAATTTACAACTGGAAATCGATACGTCGCATTTCTTTTGGTTGGTCACGTACTTCTTGAAGTTCGCTACGCAGATAGAGCTGGATCTAGAACATCTCTGCTCGGTCTTGTCATTCGACATCGTCTCATACTTGACCGCCGAGGGCGTCAACTTGTGCGAACAATTCGAGCTGGCCGTCAAGTTAGACGGTAATGGTCTCAAGCCGTGCATGAGGAGGCTCCATTTGGTAAATTTTGTTTTATTAAATTATTGTAAATCTCGGTCTGTTCAATGTTATAACGTTAGGTTCATTAAAAAATATACGATGTAAAATAAAATATTTAGTGTTATAACTTAATATGTTTATGCGAATTGAAACTCTATTGGGTCTTTAGTGGTTACCGGAACCAAAAAAATTGAAGACACAGTTGCATATAATATCCTTTTGAAGAGGAACACCCGGTAATAAACCATTTTAATGAGTTTTATTTACGGAGTGCATTATGTGACATAGTGTTTACAGAAAATCCTTGTAACACATAATCGTGCTACAATTACTCTATCTTAGTTTCACATTATATTAATTGGCGTAAGTAGGTTGGTGCGGTATTATGAGACATAATTAATTTAACGAATTATTGAAACATTTTATACATACACAAATTTATTATAATGCACTTGTTGTTTTTATTGTTATAATAATATGTTGTCTCGAAGAATCTTTACTAAAATGTGTAATAATTAATACTTGTAATATCTTTTTTCAACAACCTAATGAACGTTTATATATTATACATGATTATGAATGATGTTACTTACTTAATATGCAAAATATAATCAAATTTCATAATATTTAATCACTCTCAACTAATATATCGTTTACATTTTACTGTATATTGCATTATTAATATTATTTTTAGGTTGTAACAGCGATAAGAGAATTGGTTCAAGCAATCGAAGTGTACAAAAAGATATCGTTCATACGCAAAGACGACAGGGAGGCGCTCATAAAATTGCAAATCAAAATGTGCGAAACCGATGAGCTGAGATCTCTGATGGTGTTGTTGCTCCGCACTTACAATCCTAAGTATCACACCAAACAATATTTACAGGTTAATATTTTTTTTTGGTTTATTTAACTAGCAGTAGCTGTGTACTGTGGGTTCACAGACATTACATTTCCAAGAAGTCTTATGCATTACTTACTTGTAATGGGAGCTCAACTTTATTGGATTAACTTGATTTTCGTTGGAATCATATTATGTTTGCTTGTAACATCTGTTTTAGGCCTATAGTTTTACTTGGGGTTTATCGGAGCTCATAGACAATGAATACCGCGGCCCACCGTGAGACATGAGGTCGAACTAGCTGTTTCTAAAGACATACTGGACATTTCACTGGTGGTAGGACCTCTTATGAGTCCGCACGGGTAGGTACCACCACCCCGCCTATTTCTGCCGTGAAGCAGTAATGCGTTTCGGCATAAAGGGTGGGGCAGCCATTGTAACTATACTGAGGCCTTAGAACTTATATCTCAAGGTGGGTGGCGCATTTATGTTGTAGATGTCTACGGGCTCTAGTAACCACTTAATACCAGGTGGGCTGTGAACTCGTCCACCCATCTAAGCAATAAATAAAAAAAAACATACTGCAAAAGTACTAACCGTTTAGTTTATCCTTGCACATACATACATACATACATACATACACACCAAAGTAATACTAATATAGAAAGTTCAACATATTCTAAATCCTTACAATCCTAAATTACTAATTATCATTTTTTTCTTTTTCACAGGATATAATAGTAACGAATCATATTTTACTATTGTTCTTAGACAATGTGATGAAGATGACCGAATACAATGGCACGACTAATATGGTGGACCATATAAAACAGTACGTTGTACATTTTATACAGCTATCTTTATAAGCGGATTTAAATCACTTATCATCAATACACATAATAATACCGCAGAATAGCTAGTCTTGCCATAAATACTGAGACAAAGGAAAAAAAAAAATCTATTGCAAATAACATTTATTACTTTTACAGTGTGTTAGTTTAATACATAAATATAATACAATTTAAAGTATAAAAAGCTTATTCGAAGTGGTCTGCATTGGCTGCAATACAGTCCTGTAAACGTTGAGGCCAATTATCAATAGAAGCACACACTCTTTCCATGGGAAAAGTTTTCACTGCCAATCGTACGGATTGTTTTAGGGACTCCAAATTATCATGGCATTTAGAGCAAGCCGTACTCTCTAAAACTGACCATAAATCATAATTCAGAGGATTAAGATCGGGATTAGACGACGGCCAGTCTTCAGCTCTGATGAAGTCCGAAACGTTCGTTTTCAACCAAGACTGCGTAGACCGAGCTTTATGACCTGGCGCCGAGTCTGGCTGGAAGGACCATTCTTGATTATTGAACATGGTGTTGTTAAGGGGCTTCACTATCTTCTCAAGAATGGTATCTTGATACACTTGTGCCGATGTTTTGATACCTTTTTCACAAAAGTATGGCTCAGTCACTCCTTCATAGCTAATACCCCACCAAACTATCACTGAAGTCGGATAGTGCCCACGTTGCACTCTGTCGACTAATTGAGAAGCTTCCTTAGAGCTTTGAGCATAAATACGATCATATTGTTTGTTAAAATGTTGGTCAATTGTAAAAATTTTCTCACTGTAAACAAAAATTTTCTACGACCCTTTGCGTACCGCTTCAGTAATTGTTTCGATTTTACCACCCTATTCTCTTTTAAATTATTTGCCAAGAAATGACCAGTACGTCTCCTATAGGCTGCAAGTCCTAAGTCATCTTTTAAAATACGCGACATGGTTCTAGGTGCTATCTTCATCTCCCGAGATAAAATCTTTTGCTTTCGGACAGGATTTCTTCGAATTCTTTCCCTTACTGCTTTGACCACCTTTTTCGTACGAACACTACGTGGACGGCCAGATCTTTTTCTGTCACAAACAGAGGAGGTCTCATTGCACCTATTAATAGCCCGGTACACAAACATTTTACTAATACCAAGCGTATGGAGAGTTTTAAAAATTGCATTTGGCTCCATACCTACTTTGTGTAATGCAATCACAGCGATTCGGTTCTCTTTATCACCCCACTTCATTTTAATATCGCAAAATATTGTACAGCGTATTGGCGCCAAAATGAGAAAACTCAATGAGCAATCATGTAAAAATTACAGATTCCAAATTCAAATGTAATATTTTGTTTATTTTTAATAGTAACAGTATTTATGGCCAGACTAAGTATAGTGTGCCTGTACATTGAAGATAAGTAAAAAAATAATAGAAAGGGTAATTAAAGACGATTAATAGAACATAAACCACAATAGAATTATTTTCAATCGGTTTGTTTGTTCGCGCACATCTCCAGAACTACATAACCAGTTCCCATTTAGTTTTCACTTGTCGATAAAATAAACAAATTTGGAACCCAATTAAGTTATCGTCATTTATAGGTTCCTGGAAAAATTTATATCGTTAGATGTTGGAATTTACACAAAAATAAAATTACCTAGGTCGATTTTTTATGTTTCCATGACGTTTGGTCATGTACTATTTTAGACCAATTTTTTTGTATATAGTTAGGGATACAAAGAAAGAATATATTTTTTATCAGTTCTTTTCACTCCACGCAAGCAAAGGAAAGCTAGTTACTTTATTAAACGTACACGTTCTGTATTGGTATAATGGGTGAATTTTTATAGTAAGCGGAAACATGCTTTTCCAATAAAGTTACCTAAGACTGACGTGGAGCACTGCCAATCACAATTAATTGGTTGCCTAATTAATAGTTAATTAAAGTCTTAATATTTTGTTTGATTAAGCATAATTTATGGTTACTCTACTTGGGCTCCGTGATTTGACTGCTATGTTTCCCCAAGGGCAAAGCTTATCAAGGTCTCACAAAACATATCATTCCAAAACATTGTGTTGAACTGTATGGATAAGGAAGCACTATTAGCGACTTCACCGAAAAAAAATTTTTTTTTTGGTACTTTATAATTCTATCTATTATGAGAAATAGCATTGTTGAAGTTATTGACAACTCATACCACGAATCCAACCATAAAAGTACTAAGAGATCTCTAATATCTTCATGTACCATTTCGTGATAAGTGCGAAACGTACTTAATGTGGGAAGAATTTAAAGTAGTATAAAAAACATATTTAAAAATGATAAAGAATCATCTTAAGTTAGTAAAGACAACTAACTATCACTCTTAGTGACCTGAAAAGAAACAAAAAATAAATTCGATAATTTTTTTATAATAACTCACCCAGTATTTAATTAATTATTGTATAGTATTATTTATTTGTTATTTAACGTGTTCTTAGCACGATCTTTATATTTACTGATATTTACCACAATTTTTACTGGTGGTAGGATGTCTTGTGGGTCCGCGCGGTTAGGTTATAACCACCTTGTCTATTTTAGCCGTAAAGCAGTAATGCATTTCAGTATGAAGGGTGTGGCAGCTGTTTTACTGTGAAAACGGAGACCTTAGAACTCATGTCTCAAGGTGGGTGGCGGCTTTTACGTTGTAGTATCTTTGGTCTCCAATAACGTTAGGTGGACCCTGAGCTCGGCCAACCATAAGCAATAAAAAAATATCATTTGTTCCACAAAATGAATTGCACACTTGATGATGTACAACGTGTCTGTAATGCAGATAGCCGCGAAAACTTCAAACAACTTCACTTGAAGTCTATTGAAGTCGTCGTGGCCTAAAGGATAAGACGCCCGGTGCATTCGTGTTGAGCGATGTACCGGTGTTCGAATCTCAGGCGGGTACCAATGTTTCTAATGAAATACGTACCCAACAAATGTGCACGATTGACTTCCACGGTGAAGGAATAACATCGTGTAAACCCGCAAAATTATAATTTGCGTAATTACTGGTGGTAGGAACTCTTGTGAGTCCGCGCGGATAGGTACCACCACCCTGCCTATTTCTGCCGTGAAGCAGTAATGCGTTTCGGTTTGAACTTATATCTTAAGGTGGGTGGCGCATTAACGTTGTAGATTCTATGGGCTCCAGTAACCACTTAACACTAGATGGGCTGTGAGCTCGTCCATCCATCTATGCAATAAAAAAAGAAACTTCAGTTGCCGTAAATTACCTCAGTACCGTAAGCTATCTACAACCTGATAATTTTGAACCGTCTATAGATTCGCTACGCCCGAAATAATGTACCAATACGGGTTGCTGCTAGAGGATTACGCCAGTAACGGAGAGTTTGTGAACGACTGTATCTTCACGGTAATGCACCACGCGGGAGGCGAACTAGAAAGCCTGATAACATTGTTCCAACCTAAGATACTTAAGACGTTCACTTCGATTTGGAAATCGGAATTCGAAATTTGCGATGTAAGTTTTTATGGTCATATTTCATCATTTTTCCACGAACTAACTTGTTCTTACACAAAAGGAATATGTTCACAACATATAGCAATTTTACAAATTGTAAATGGCGTGTTTTCAATAGGAGAAGGTCATCGGAAGTTTTTACTGTTTTTTTTTTTTTGGTATCATTATTTTCACGTTAATTGTTCTAATTCAAGGATTGGTCCGATCTCATCGAATACGTGATCAATACGTTTATAAAGAAGCCGCACACGTTACAAACCATGGCTGACATTAGGCTTGACACGGAGAACTTTGACGACGAAATAGTTTCGAAGCCTGTCACGACGCCGGAAGATGTCGCTGGTCCGCGCACTAACGATATAGCCAAGAAGAATAACACAATTAGTAACGCCAGTAACGCATCTGTGGAAACGTGAGCATTCTATTATCCTACTGAAAAGTCTGTCATTTTTATTTTGCAGTCAAATAAGTCGGTGGTGTATGCAAGTGGTTACCGTCTTCCATGAATACAATGGGCAATTCCATGGGCACAGTCAAATTACTACCATTTTTTCTTGCTTACGTTGAGAGATTCAAGAAGATTCTGGTAGACAGAGTCCGGAGTTTATAATTGACTCTTCGTTTATTCACTGGAGGGTAGGAGTTTAGAGTTAGGACTTCTTGGATTGGTATTACTGGTGCATTTTCCTAGTTAACTATCCCTACCCTTCTTGATATCTAGAACATCGATAGCCAGGCATGTTGTGAACCCGCACGGATCTAAACCCGAGTCCTGCTTACTTCGTTGTAAAAACCAACTAATGATTTTGAGCACATGTTTCAAGGCGGTAGACGGTAGGCACAACGTCTGAATAGAACATTTAAACATATTAACATAAAAAAATAAATTGTACAGTATATTAATTTGGAAGAATTTTGTTGCGTAAAGTCCTTACAAAGTCAATACCTTACGCTTTTAGGTGGACAGAAGACGAACTAAGCTCATTGAATTGGAACTACATGCAATGTAATTCTCTATCCGATGTTATCGGCGAGATTGTGAAGTTGTTCAAAGATTACGGAACTTTTAAATCTAGACAATCTATTATCACACAGCTGTATAAACAGAACATTATTGATAAAGATAAATTTGAGACGTTTTTGAACGCCGAAAAACAGTGGAACACCAGAACTGTAGAGCTAAACAAGGAGACGAGAGACGACGAGATCGGCAAACTATGCGAGCAGCTGGCGAACGACGGGAAGTCTAACTTCCTAGATTGGGTACAGAAAGTACTTTTGGATACCTGCTGCGCTAAAATATATATCCAGAAGAAATCGGCCACTAAATTCCTGGCCGACCAAGCTGACTGCAAGCTACTCAATTTTGAATTGTTCAAGAAGAAATCGGACTTTCCGTCTTTGTCGCCAGTGTCCTGCCATTCATTGCGTGAGTAATTATCTAACGCGACTCCAAATAATTTATTTCAAATTGATGTAATTTAACATACCTTCTGAATGTTTTAACTTGAACTTTAGCGACCTGCACAAAAAAGCCATGAAGTAGCTTAGGTTTTTTTAAGTGAAACTTCTTTAGAATCGTTGTGATTTCAAACTCGATGAAACGAAAAAATAAGACCATAGAGAGTTTTTTTAATACAGCGCCATCTATGAGATTTTTTAATACTAACGTGTGTATGAAACCTCTTGTAGTGAATTTTAATTTAGGATTATACGTGAAGTTAAAGTATCAATTCCCAGAGGGCGCTACCTTATACTATTACTATAACAGATGATTTACAATCATTTAGTAATGACAAAATTTTACATATACTTAAACATTTAGGATAATTTTATTTTAATTTTTGAAGGTTTCACTTCTACCACGTGTGAATTGCACACATGTATTTTTTTTTAATTAATAAAAATAATCAGTTCACTATTTCACTTTAGTGTTCAACCAATCTGTTCCATTGGTGCCGTGGAACTGCAGACAAGCCAGTATCTGCAAAGACTTGAAGTTTCTGCAGCTTTTACACAAGCTCGGCTTCCACATGCCCGTCGATTCCGGGAAAGTGTTTATAAGAATTCCTCATTTTTGGACAGCGGATTTTCTTTTCGAGGTCGCCGGAAAGATAGCGCCCATCGATAAAAGTGAGTATTTGGAATGAATGCTACTTCTGTATAGTGGCGTAGCTAGGTAACCAAGGGCCCTGGGGCAAATTAAAAAATGGGGCCCCACTATTATGTAAACTGATTAGGTTTTATCAAATAAAAATATGGAATATACAAATATTTTAGAAATGCTAAGCTACTTAAGCTCTTTTTTATGCACTCCAGGGCAGGTAATAAAAATATTAAACAGTAACACCATATCAGGTTGGGGGAAAAGTCTTTTCGCATTATAGTACTTGTAATAAAATCTATTTTTATCTGGCTGCTTTTGATATCATTAAAAGTTTAAATTTTAAAGAAGATAATTCCAAATTCAAATTAGTAAAATGTGTGATTTTTATTTATTTTTCGTACTTTCAAGATGAGTGAATCTAATGAAGAAATTCGATACATTTAAACATTTTACTACAAAAAAGATAAAAATGCAAAGCAAGTCGCGAAAAAAATTTGCGATGTTTATGGACCTAGTGCAGTGTCTGTGAGAGTAGCATAAATTTGGTTTAAATGTTTTCAATCCGGAAATTTTTATGTCAAAGATGCACGTCGCTCTGGTCGCCCTATTACGGATAAAATGGATGCCATTTTTTAAAAAGTAGAGCAAGAACGGCATATCAGTAGTTACAACGTAGCTGAAGAACTGGGAATTCAACACAAAACAGTTTTGGCGCATTTGAAAAAAACTGGGTACACAAAAAAGCTCGATATTTGGGTACCTCACGAGCTCATTAAAGGAAACCTAATGAACCGTGTACTCACTTATGATTCTTTATTACGACGTAATGAAACCGAACCATTTTTGAAAGAACTGATAACTGGTGATGAAATGTGGATCACGTACGACAAGAACGTGCGAAAAAGGTCGTGGTCAAAGGCCGGTCAGGCTTCACAGACTGTAGCGAAACCCGGGTTAACTCGCAACAAGGTGATGCTGTGTGTGTGGTGGGATTGAAAGGACATTATTCATTATAAGATGTTACCACCAGGCAGGACCATCGATTCTGAACTCTACTGCGAACGACTGATGAGATTAAAGCAAGAAGTTGAAAGCGGCGGAATTAATCAACAGAAGGGGTGTGGTTTTCATCATGATAACGCTAGACCTCACGCATCTTTAGCCGTTCAGCAAAAATTAAGAGAGCTTGGCTGGGAGGCGTTAATACATCCGCCGCATAGCCCTGACCTTGCACCTTCAGATTTCCAACTGTTTCAGTCTCTTCCAAATTCTTTAGGCAGTGTCAGGTTAACATCACGAGAGGACTGCCAAAACCGATTGTCGCGGTATTTTGATTAGAAGCCCCAAAATTTCTATAACAATGGGATCATGTCCCTACCTACAAGATGGCAAAAAGTTATCGAACAAAAGGGTACCTACATACTTTAGTTAAATGTAAATAAACTATATTAAAAAATGGTGTGAATTTTCTTAAAAAATGCGAAGAAACTTTTTCCCCAACCTATTACAATGCGCTGTAGCCTAAATCTATAGACTTACACGATTTATTGACTTGATGGACATCAATATGAGCGGTAAAATAAAATAAAATTGAACCACTATATTGACCAGTACAAAAAAGTTTATTGACATTAGCTTACTTACCCCCGATACAGCATTAATTTCTTAACCGTTCTCGAATAAATTTTTTTACTTGAATTCACAATAAAACGCACATCGATGAATAATAAAACGCACAAATCACTATCCGTGAAATTGATAACACTGCCAACCTACAGAAAGAATTTAGGGGAATTCCCTAGGCAAAACTTTTGAATTTCTCTCAACTGAGTTGGCATGATTAAAGTGGGGTTGCAACCTGTCATCTTTATTTTCAAAATGGGAAAAATTTCCAAAAGTTCAGTTCAATCGAGATTTCTGGTAAGGATTCGAGGGCCCCCTGAGCTTGAGGGCCCCGGGGCACTGCCCCGCCTAGCCCCTTGGTAGCTACGCCACTGCTTCTGTACCGTCTATTTGGAAACTGACACTTTATTTTGTTGTGTATTTGAATTTTAGAAACGCTGAAATTCAATATAGACGACCTACAGAATAGTATGACGCACGAGAAATATCGAAATCTTATAGTTTTAACTACGAATTATACTAAAGATATTACTATGGTGGAAACCTCTGATAATATTTATCAAGTGCACAAACAAAAGCATCTCGCCACAATGGTCAACTTTACGCCTATGTAAGAACGAACACATTCTTCTTCTATCTATCTATTTAATATTATTCTATATTATATGTTAATTATTATTTAACTTATTTATTAAGATTGTTACAACCACGTTAAAATATACGTTGGAAACTTTTTTAATAACTTAATAATAAACGTTACCTAAGAATAGTAACATATTTTGGTATCTTTCGATCGTATTTAAAGCAATATAAGAAACATATGTGTTTATAGTTTTAAAAAAAATCCCGAGTTTCATTATTTTGGTGTTAATTAAAAATTGAAAGAAAAATTTATAGAAGAGGAAAAGTTCCAATAACATTCAAGTCCTTATCGAGCTCAATCTGCTTCTAGGCCTGGCACTTCATTCGGTACGCAAAGAGATGACGAAAGACGCAACTGGTTGGAGGTGGTTAAAAAGTCGCAAGAATATAAGATTACATTGAATTTAGGAAGGTGCGTATAACGAACAAAGTGGAGAATATTGATCTTTATATATATATAAGTCTATTTCATTCATTCATTTCATTCAAATTCAGTGTAAATTTACCGGCTATCTTCAAATATATGACGGCCTTACGCCAATAAATACGCAGGAAAATTGTAAAGACCTGCGTGGGCTCCCAACATTTCGTAACTAAATAAGAAAGGTAAAAATTTACGATTCGATTAAATTACACGATCTTAGAAGCCGTTCGTTAAAAAATGTTAAATAGATATTTATTTAGAAAAGTTTGGTACCAAAATCGGGCATATTTGAATTTATTTGTCGAAAAGCGTATTGTGTACTTGCAGGGGTACGTACCTCCATCCTGTCTTATTTTTTCCGTGGAGCCGCTACCCGTTCAATTTTTAAAATTTGAATTGTACCGCGAGTAAAAAACAAAACCTCTGTTAACAAATAACCCTTATTTTAATACTTATGATTGTCGCATCGAGTAGGTTAGTGGGGGAGGAAGACGACATACAGCCTGATGTAGTGATGAAGTTGCCGTCGAGCGAGCCGTCGGAGTCGCTCCCCGCGCCGCCCATCAGTGGGAACATCACCGACACAGAGTACTACAACAACAGGTATAGTATAAATATCAAAATACTTCATGTATACCTCAAAATTTTCAGCATCGGGACCACATCGAGACAGCATCGGGATTATATGATATTGTAATGTTAAATTGAAAAAAATCATGGATATACAAATGTATTTTGATGGCCTCGTCGGTCTAACGGTGACTGATCCCGACTAACTAGGAGCCCTGTTTCAATTCGCGGTTCGAATGTACTGTACATTCCTTAAGCATATTCGAGGTCTTAGTAGACTTGTTCTTGGCTCGAAAATGTGTTTCTGGGAGAGAATATTAGCCCCTGGTTCGATAGAATTATAATCGTTTGTTTTTATTAGTTTCAAATTAATCTTTTTTAGGTACGGCAATCGGTTTTTTAAGTTTCCATCGTTGGCAGCGTCGTCCTAGATCGAGTTTAAAATATGACCTCTACTTCTTCTTTAAATATCTATGACCGGTAGACAGCAACTGGCTGTAGCCATTAATGGAATGGCTTCAAGAATGTTCGCGAGGGACGTCTAGCATTCACCAACAAATCTCACGTCCGCTTACCTTGGGTGCCAATAATGTGAAATTTCAACATATTTTTGAAGGAGCAAGCATATGAAAACTAGCTTACAGCGATCTTCTGTTCAATGGCTACCAAAGCTCATAGACGTGAATACGAGGTCGAACTCTAGATTATAATTGGGCCTGGCTGTGTTTAACCCTCTAAACCGGAACGAAAAATGTCAAATAAAATTATATATGAGTAATAGTGGACCCGATAGACGTCCTGTGGATACATATATGCAATAGCCTAGATACCGACTGCAGTGCCATCTGCCGGGCTGATTTGTGAATCTAAACAATCCAGGGCGCCACTCAAACGCATACAAAAAAATCTTTCAAATCGGTCCAACCGTTTAAGAGTTCGGTGATATACACACGTTCAGTAGAATTATATTTAAAAATATATGATTTAAAGTTTTTCAATTTATTAATCAAACTTCTGTTCAGACCCTGTTAAACTCATTAAGAGTACAGAAGGAAGTAAATAGACCGTGACAAGTAATTGTCCATTTGTATGTTCACAACGACAAAGCGAATAACGCGTTAAAGAAGTGAACGAGATACTTTCTGATTGTGAACTACTTACGCAATTAAATCCGTTTACAACAGTCCGTTTAAAGCGTTTAAAAGCTTTTCAAGATTGCACAGGTTTATCAGTAAAGTCAAATAAAAATCTTGTCTTGGTACAGAAATATAATACAAGATTTATTTGTGATTGTCATTTTGTAGGTCTACGAATGAGACAGGGCCCTGAAACTGCGATACTTTAAGACAAATATTTTTTGTATCGAAACTAGCGACATCTTGTAATGGATGCCCCCGAGCTTATATATTGTTAAAGTTTAAGGCATTTAATTATTGTATAGCTAAACATAAAAAAAACATACAAATCTTTATTTGTTATAGACAAATTGACCTTTTTATCAATAGATTTTTATCAATGTGTGGTTTCTGAAAATTTACAAAAGCCTTCATTAAAAATAACAGGATATAACAGGTAATATGTTACTGCTATCTACAGGAGTAATGAGGAACTAATAGAAGCGAAGCCATCTAGTGGCCGACGCCCGTAAACATTTTTGTTGAGTGCTTGAGTTGCTCAACTAGGTATAACTAATTTATGTGTATTATCAGCTATGGGATGAGATGTAATATTTATTTTTATTTTAGCGTATGCGAAACAGCTTCGGTGGCGTCCGATCTCACTCGAATGTACGTTTCGGATGAAGACGAGAAACCGGAAGTGGTACTACGGCCTGTCCATGAGGTCAACAACTTGGCTGAATCCAGTGACTCCGGCAACTTAAAACGTCCGCGTGTACAATTTGCGCCCAATTTCTGATTCCATACGTAGTGGATAAGTAGCTGTCGAAACGATAGTGTTTAAGTTTACCTCAATAAATCTTAATAAAATATACCTAATATTAATTTTATCGTAATTAAAATAACTATCTATTTTGAAAAAAAAAAAAAAATATCTATGTATGAAATATATATTCCAAATGTGTTGTAGTTAGTGCAACTTCAACGTGTTTATTACATTATTATTAAAACAGATTAGCTTTTGTGTTTAAACCAATGCATTTTGATAGTACGTAGGTACAATTTTATATAATAATATAATAATATGTATTCTATTAAAAAAAAAAAAACATTGTTGTTGTACACTTTTCCACCTACCATTTACTCTTGATTTTGGTTTACTTGGAGCTCACCTCATGTACGAATTTAACTCATCTCGTGTACAGAACACTTACACAGTTCTTTTCTGATGTTTTTCTGTGCACTCTAAAGTATAATTAAATAAGAATTTCTATACGTTGTAACTCGTGACTATGCGAACACACAGCTATAAGGGAAGTTTCAATAGATTTAATAATAGTTTATTTTTTTATAATTTGTTGTGTTGTGTTAGACCTTTAAACGTAGTGTAAACAAATAGTTTTGATAGAATTGCATTAATCGAAATAAAAATATACCTCTGAATTCAGTTGTTTAATAATTTACAACAAAAATAATTACCTACATACATTACACATCTAGTAACAAACAGAGTAACAAACAAGCTTATAAAAACGTTCATATGCCATTGATATCCAAGAACATTTGATTCCATTACATGTAAATGAACATGGCAGATTAATTACATATTACAATTACATATTATGTAACAAAACTTTGTATTGAAGTTTAAAACAGGAAAATACTAATGGTAATAACTATTTCCTCCGTCCGAATGTGCGGCGCCTTGATTGTGAGGGAGGAAGTCTCTCAGTTGTTCGTATTGGTTATGTTCAAAAGTATTATCACCGTTTCCAGAATTACCGTAATTGCTATATGTTGGAGCGTTATACCCAGACGGCGTCCCTGCATATTCTTCACTAAATTGGGCTGCATCTTGACTATAACTGGGGCTGCCTTCAAAGGAGTGAATATTTGACGTAGGCCTATACGACTGCCCACCATCAGATGGTTCATGATTTTCCTGAACATTATAGGAATTATTTTGTACACCGTCTTCTGTTGCTTCATGACTGTTATGTCCATTCCCCGGTGTTACAATATGTGGAACTTTAATAATTTGCGGTACAGGAACGGGGTATGGTTTAGCGACGTGCACTGGATAAGGCACCCTTTCCTTTATTTTCACTGGATAAGGCACTGGAATTTTAACAGCAATTGTCTTTGTAATTTTGATCACTTTCACAGGCGTTTCTGGTATTTCAACATGTTGTCCAAGATCTTGTAGTTCTGTCTCATAACCTTCCACAGGGATAGTATGTGAATGATGAGATGCGAAAGCGCACCATATGTAACATAACAGAACCATTAATTTCTGTAAAAAAAATATAAGATAATGTATTAATTAAAATAATTAGTAACAAAATGTGTTCATACTGTACTTAATACTGCATTAGCGCTGTACAAAAATATTTCATAAATGATATAAGTATGGTAGAAACATCAAAGGATAATTTAAATACATCATTAAACCAACCACACACAAACACAAAATAATTAAAGGAACAAAATAAAGCACTGTCTTGTGGTTGTTTCGTGAAACAATCTCCGTCACGTAACTACTTGCAAAAACGGGAACTGACAATATTATGTAACTGCGTTTGATGTAATATTGACATAATTCAGCAAAAAAAAAACAATAACAATCCGACAATAATTAGGTCAATTTAAAAAGTACCAACCATAAAAATCATTGTAGGCGAGTGTACAGCGACGATGCAGTCAAAAAACTGTCGAAAGTAAAGTGTATTTACTCGCTTTTATATGTAACATTCCCTCTGTAATGAGAAACGGTCTCGGTTAACGTTTACTTTCCTTCCTGCAGCTACAGATGAGTTGAAAAGTGATAGTAGTCACTTGTTTCTGCTGCAGATTATTTGTAAAGGAATTATTTACACATACCACCAACCTTAACTTATTCTTAGGTTTTGCCAAAATCCCTCTCAACCGGGTATTCGTAAACGGATTCCCCAGCGTTAAAAAAAGGTTTTGCCAAAATAAATTGTGATGTTTAATACATAACAGTTTAATAGTGCAGTCAGAGTCACTGATCACTAGCAACGAGTAAATCAAAAATACGTTAGGAGTTATTGGATTTTGTTAGTTCTTACTTTTTTATTGTTTTCAGGTAGGTAACGCTCATAGTAAATCGTTCTATATTATGAGCACAACAACATGAATTGAGCAGAGCTCACATCAATAAAATTGCGTAGCGTAGATTAATTTACACCGTCTATATGGAGAGGTGAGGTCAAAGTTTTCTATGCATTAAAAATGCCTACCTTTCGGACCGGAAAATGTCATTACATCGCGGAAATGGGCTCTACCACTGTAACTTATTATGTGCTCCACTGTATTAATGAGCCAGAGCCACTGCAAAATAAGGCCAATGCCGAAAAGTCGTTAGGCTTGCTTCGTCTGCCAACAACAATATTAAATATTGACTACAAAGTTCTGACAAGAGTGAAACGACAAAAAAGAAGAAGACCAATAGAGACAAATTAATGGGAGATTTAGATGAGAATATATGATAAGGAGTATGTCCAGATACTGTCTTCGACTTCACTATTCCCCAAATTAAAGCGGTACATCTTAATAGGTCCGTACACAATGGGGAATTCATTGCAGTTTGGTTTGGAAGAGCAACCGTTCCAGGTGGTAGGCACAAACTCGGATTTGACGGCAGGATAAGCAATATTAGAAAGAAGAAAATTGGTATATATGAGTCGTCTATTATCAAAGGTGGCAATCTGTACATTTGGACAAAAAATTTTTATTGATATGTCAATACAGATTTATTTGAATATAATCGTCTCCTTCAAAGAATACGGTTAAAAAACCTGCATTAAATAAAGGTTAATAGTTAACCTGTTATTTATCTAAGATGTCGTTCCGAAGAGTTTTGTGACTGCCAATGGAATACAAAGTCAATAATTCGTTTTTCTGATTTACCAATCATTGTCCAAAAGTCAGATTGCCGCCTTTGATAATAGTCGACTCATATTACCATTATTATAGTATATATGTATAAAGGAAGAATACTTTCAAATAAAATCTTAAAGCACTCCTCATAAAACACGAAGAACAACTAGTCTCTCCACCTATAGTTACCACATTAAAATACATATAAAAGGGTTCCCCGAATCCTGATCATGCAGGAGCCAGTCACCGTCGACGCCCTAGACACGTCCTTACGGTTCCATCAGATCCAATAACCTTTGCATTAGATGCCTTCAGCTCTAATACTAGGAGCAGGCTTAGGGACTCCGGTAACCGTACTCGTCGAACTCGACAAAGAGGTCGACGTGCAACCTAACCCATGCATCAGCCCGCTGAGTTTCTCGCCGGATCTTTTCAGCGGGTCGCGATTCCGATCCGGTAGTAGATTCATTCGCGAAACAATTCCTCTTGAGTTGTTAGGTCTCCTTCGGAGGCGCTCGGGCAGTTGTTAGCAAATCCCGCCTCTCTTGGCTGAGCCTTTGCTCGCCCACCTGTCCTGGTGAAACTGGAAAGGCCTTCGGGGGCCACCAGTAAACTTTCAATCATAAAAAAAAAAAAACATATAAAAGGGATACGGCTCGTTTCCTAATTCTTAAACGTCTTGTTACGAGTTATATTATGTAAGAACCTACTACTACATACTTATGTTATTTGCTAATATTTTTTGTTATTGTCTTTGACGTTGTAAGTAATTAGGTATGCACATGTCAATTAATGTTTTTTAAAAACCTGTTCTTTGATTGGTTAGCGTGCGCGTGCGTACCTTGTTGAATTGACATTTTAACCTAGATTATTTAGAAAAAAATGTACTTTTATTGCTCCATTTGAAAAGACATGGCCAATGTTTTTTGTTATTTTTATTTGCATTTAATATTTTCAATTACTTAGTTTTTATATAGATATATATTATTATACATACAATATATTTAATTATTCAATAAAAATAAAAGTGAGCCTCTGACGACTTTTAACACAACATACTTTATGCATCTTGTGTTCACACCCAAAACGGTAAATTCAATAGTGTATCCATTTTTATATTTATGTCAAATGTGAATGTGTGTGTATATATTTTATATATACACACACACATTTATATATATATACCTAGTCAGGTAATAAGTATTGTCACACAGTAAAAAAATTTCTTTTAGAATGCTGGCCACAAAAAAGTTTATTGAATTCGAATTTCGAATTGTTCATGAAAATAAAAATGTAAACATACTTTTAGAATTTTACTCATCTTTAAATATGGAGTGGACGCTTAAAGAAGACCGTGTTGCAGTTATTGCGTTGCATCGTTGCGGTTACGCGCCAATTCAAATTTTTAACATACTGAAAAATTTGAATATAACCAAAAGATTCGTTTATGGTACCATCAAACGATACAATGAAGACTCTAGTGTAGATTACAGGTCAAGAAGTGGTCGCCCTCGGTCTGTTAGGACTCCAGCAGTGATAAGAGCTGTGAAGGCGCGAATTCAAAGAAATCCCAAACGTAAGCAGAAACTGTTGGCCCTTCAGATGGGGTTAAGCAGAACCACGGTGAAAAGGGTGTTAAATGAAGACTTAGGGCTTCGGGCATATCGAAGAAAAACAGGACATCGTTTGAATACTCGTCTAATGGACCTGAGACTGAAGAGATGCCACGCTTTGTTGAAGCGGTACGCGGGAAAAATATATCGGGAAATTCTTTTTTCGGATGAAAAATTTTTTACCGTAGAAGAGAGCTACAACAAACAAAATGATAAGGTGTACGCACACAGTAGTGAAGAAGCGAGCAACCGTGAAATAGACTTCATCCGGCGCGAAGACTGGCCCTCCTCCAGTCCAGATTTGAATCCGTTAGATTACAAGATATGGCAATACTTGGAGGAAAAGGCGTGCTCAAAGCCTGATCCCAATTTGGAGTCACTCAAGACATCCTTGATTAAGGCAACCGCCGATATTGACATGGACCTCGTTCGTGCTGCGATAGACGACTGGCCGCGCAGATTGAAGGCCTGTATTCAAAATCACGGAGGTCATTTTGAATAAACTTTAGTGTCATAAGAACATAATGAATAAACTTGTTTCAATTATTTTACATTAAACATGTGACAGAATTTATGACCTGACTAGGTATATATATAGCCATATACATATAATTATCAGTGTTCTCCACTACGCGGATTTTCGTCAACCATCTAGATACATAAGCGAAGTTAATAGTCTATTTCTATTAGTGGCTGTTCCAACTATCTAGCCGGATAAAATAATCATGGTATAAGTAAGGACACATTACTAGACTCAGGTACGCGTTAATAACGCCAATTAATAAAAGAATACGATAGGATCCAATAATACAAATAGCATGGCATATATAAGTATAACTTTATTACTCACGCTTACAATCATGAAAGAAAATGAAGACAATAAAAAAAAATACATAAGTTGAAACACGTTGAACGGTAAGTAAAATTGCTTTAATAATATTAAAACTGGAATAGAATACATACTTATCATAATTACTTTATAATTATTATTTTAAGTTTAAATCTTTAATGCCTAGTACTAAAAATGCTTTATTACGAAATTAAATGTTATACTGTTTATTAAACAAGATTAGGGATTTCTTAAGCAGAAAGCGACATATAGCGACTTCATATTTTTATATTTATATAGTTAATCTAGAAAATTTTGACAGACAGCAGTGATTTTAATACATTGCTTGAATGTAATCATCATTTTATTATTGATTGTATCATATTATTGTATTTTTAACATTGGGTTGACGGGTTTTTTTGTATGTTTTTTAGTCTAATCATGTTGAATTCTGCTTAGCTTCTCAATCTATAAAGTAGAATATAAACTGGTTCGTAACATGGTATTAAACGTATCTGATAAAAGGTGACAGCCCAAGTTTTGCTTACGTAGTTTTATGTATATTTCATTGAATCAATAAAAATAATAGTATAGATAAAAATATGTACATGCTCTCAGCATTATAATATATACGTTCATTTAACCACTTTTCCCATTGTGTATTCAATGAAAATTACACTAAAGAGTAAAATCGAACCACGCTTCGAAGTTGACAATTTTTTTTCATATTTCAAATAAAAAAAAAACAGTAGTGTTTTTCTATGTTGCCATTCACAAATAAATCCTTTAAACAGTAAAATTTACATTTCAATTATAATGGGACAAGTAAGATTTTATATAGTATTTTGTTCGCTTTTTTTCGAGTCGTAGATATAATCAAAACTACTTTTACGGTTTAATCGAATGCTTTACAATTTTCGTGGTCACGGAAGACTTAGATTTTATTCGTCGACATTTGAATGTTGTAGTCATATTTTCTATAGCAAATATTTTCAGGAAATGAAATGACACGTTAAAGTCTAGATGAAACTGTAAGAGTAGTTTCAATTACAACATTACGTAGCTAGTTATTTTTTAGTAAAAATACAAGTCGTGTAATACTGACAAATAAGATATTATTTAAACATAGACATGAAATATGAAATGTAGAAAACATGGATACAATAAATCACCTTTTGTATATTGGTAATTTGTTGACAAACGTTATTGTAAAAGACAAGAAATTATATCACCGTAATAATTTACCATAATTTATTATACACATTAATATAATTGTAAAATTGAATTTTTGTGACTTCCTTATTTTACAGTCGTCCTATATTATTATTATTATTTATTTATTTATTTTTACATTACGCAATTTTGAATCAATGCACGTTTGGTATAATGATTTAGCCTAAAAAATTTGACGAAGTTTAATTACCTTCTACATGTCATTGTAGTGCCCAAAACACCGGGTAGGCCTTAATAGAATTCACCTTAATTTTTAATTAGTTTCATACGGGAGAGACATAGGTATCCTTCGTTTGCACATTTTATTCAACTTTAGTAGCCATGAGTCACTTTACTGGGGAACAACCCGCGTTCGTCGTGTAAGCTTTTTTCGACAATTATTGTTCCAACGTAATCATGCGAGGTTTGTTTAGAGTTGAATAAAATTTGCGGAGTATACGCAAGCACCAATTTAATTAAGCAGTGGCTAAAGAGATTTCAACAAACCGGTTCTACATTACCGAGAAAACGTTAAGTTCGCCCGCGTACTTCACGAATGGTATTAAACATAGATTAGCTTTTCGACTTTGGGGATTACCCGAACAGCTTATGGAGAATCTTGTCACGTGATTTGAAACTTAATCCACATAAGATTCAACTGGTGCAAGAACTGAAGGAAGTTGACTTCACTAAAAGACTTGAGTTTGCATCTTTGATGCTTGACCAGTTCTCTCAGTATAAAAACATTCACATCACATCATCACAACATCACAAAAAGAGACACCTTTTGACATGAATGGATTTGTGAACAAACAAATATGATAATATCAGCAAGAGTTGTGATCGGATCATATTTCTTTGATAATGTTCGCGGTGAAGCTGTAACTGTTCATTCCAAACGATATGTTGGTATGCTGAGGGATTTACTCGGGCTAGAGCTCCCAAAAACTTGCTGGTATAAATTCGAGGACGTGATTCCAGAAGTTGGAACTACCTATCCACATCTAACATAAGCATGGACGTCATACGGGAAATGTTCGCTGGAAAAGTGATTTCATAAAGGGGCCAGCACTGACAATAGAGCCTTGACTAATCGCCCCCAGATTTATTTTTATGGGGATATCTGATATCATGGCGGCGATTTCAGAAGGGACTTTTTTTTTTTTTTTTTATTGCCCTTGTAGGCAGACGAGCATACGGCCCACCTGATGGTGAGTGGTTACCGTCGCCCATGGACTTCAGCAATGCCAGGGGCAGAGCCAAGCCGCTGCCTACCGTTAACCGCAGACAAGTGATTCAAAATTTGCGTTCTCGTCGATCTGGTGGATATCTTGACGATGTTCTTTGTAAAACATAGATTGTAAATATCCTATATCTCAAAATAAATAATAAACTTTGAATTTTAATCTATGTTTTAGTAAACAGAATTCAAAAGTGTTTTTTCTGGCCCACCCTGTATTTAGAAGTCACGTTTTAACATTCCTTTCTAATTTGGATTTCGGTTACCATTTCAATGAACAGGGGTGATATTTTAAATTTTATATAAATTTTATTTAACTACACAGTTAAGTAATAAATAAAATTTAGACGCACTAAACCATGAATCGTTCTGTAAACAGATAAAAAGATTAAACCAACACTCCTTAAAGTTTAGGATAAAGGTCTCATTGATTGGTTGAGCCGTGTAGTATTTATAATAATTAGACTCTCATTCTGTCTGAAAGAACTCTTGCTATACAACCAAGACCACCTACACTGTATGCTTTATCATGCCATAACAACAGATGGCCACTTGAACCCTCTGATGGAAATTCAAAGCCTTTATAGATATACTTCATAAGATTATCTATATCATCTAAAGACAAACTTCCAACTGCTTCCTCTATTTGTGCAGATTTGATTGCAAGCAACACCTTCAAAGTCAGAGTTAATGCGTTTTCCTGCAAAACAAAGGAAACATTTTAGTTAACTCTTATTTCATCTCAAAAAAATTTGTGTAAACAAAAGAAATGAAAACTAAAAGAAACCCAATTAAACAAACTTTGGTTATATGGATTCTCTATAATTTAATAACCAATTTGAACATTTTTGTGTGGCTTTTTGCACCCATGTGACATGTGCATCAGTAATGGTAAAATTCATTAAAACTTAATGAATCAATGGTAAAAGTGAAACTGGCTGTATATTAGTCAATAAATATAAGATACTTCTATATTATAAAATTTAAAAAAGAAACTATTTTACATCTGCAAATTGTAAGATGGGAGTAGTCACTACAGAGTGATGTTGCAGTGGAAGCATTCTATTGTTGTTTTTTACACATGGCAATCTGGGTATCCAATATCTGGTCCTCTGTTGTATGAAAAGCTGGTGATTGTTTGTGGTGAAAAACATACAAATTTATTCACATTGTGGAACTTAGAAATGAAAAAGGTATACCTTTGAATGTCAGAATGTCATTCAATATAGATGTGGTCAATTCTTTCTAGATTGTTTTCAGAAAATTATAAATGTTCTTCACAAAGTCTATAATTTATGCTTTGATAACAAATGCACATTAAGCAAACTGAAAATTATTAATGTTAATATTTTTAGGTCTTCATAGTAATTGACTGAGAATTTGACCAAACTCATTTATTTTAATGCTCCAGGGACCCACAACATAAATTTACAGCCAAAGACATTTTTTACAATTTTACAATAAAATACACTATGAATATTCTTAAAAATAAATATATGTATATTAATATATTTTTATTAAGGATTTGATTCAGGTGCTACACCCCAGCAGAGGGTAATAGGAAAGAAGAAAAGGAAGAATGAATATTCATGCTGTATATATGTTTTATGCAAATGCATACAACAGTTTTTTTTACATCCAATTATCCTGGTTTTGGAACACTGACCTTATATATTGAACCAGACAACTGAATCTCTACTGTATCCATAATTTAGAACAGCACTCACCTTTACCTGTTGATTAGATGATCCAAGCGGAGCATTATTTAACACTAGCTTGAGTGCATCAATATGTCTGCCTGTGTTTGTAAGTTAAGAAATTTATTTTTATATCACAACACAATTCATCAAAATAAGCACAATTTTAATTTTGGATGATGTAGGAATAGGATCTCACTGAAATTAAATCCCTTTCATGCATTTTTCTCAAAAAATGTATACAGGGAACTAGTTAATGTGTAATGTGATACCAATAAAAAAGGTGATAATAACTGAATAGAATCTGGTGAATAGAAATCATCCCCACCCAAGTTATTGATCACATTACACATCTGACTTCAGTTTTGTTTCTTTGAGAAATAATTTTGAAGTTGTATGTTTTACAGGTAATTTAATAAATGAGTACTATGCAATGAAGTAGAGTAATCAAACCTCCTGGTTGAAATAAAAAAGTGGCACCAACACTAACAACACAAAATTTGTTTATGACATAAAAAGTAGGAATTTAAAGTAAATTTAATGTGTAAACTGTTTATAAGGATAAAGGGATAGTTTAAAATAGAAAAATGAATTGAAACATTGGAGTATTAATTTGACATGGAATTTAGGAAAATACAATTACAATTTATAATAATAAGACGATAGTTGAAAAGGATATTGATTTAACAACGAACACACTTCGCCTTCATCCGGTCCAGTAGGGCCGGCTTGTTCTGCTTCGTCTTCTTTGAAGTTGTCTTCATTGTATTGATCTATGTCTATTTTCCGGAATGCTGAGCTTAAAGTATTTTTTGCCATGATAGTTAAAGTAGCTAAAACCTTGCTAGATAAATATGTATGTGAATAAATAATTATTATTTATTTGTAGGGCAGGTGCCTACTTATCTTCTATGGGCTTTAGTCATAGATAAGACATACAATGAATCATTAAGAATCTGTGGTTCAGTGAGTCAAATCGTAGTTTTTTTTAATGATCTGGTGAAGAGGCAAAGAAACTTTGGTCATGCTCTTAAATTTTTATTAAATAATAAAATATTAAAGCCATGTGTCAGTTGTATTGTCATGGTCTTTTTATGAAAACCCTAAGAACTATGCCTATGATATTTTCTTGTAATTTTCAAAGTACAAAGGATTTAGCTGTAGGTGCTTACATTTCGTTTACAATGGACTAATCAAACAAGAAAATTCAATACGTTCACGTTGTTTGACTTTTGGCGGGAACGCGGGGTGAGAAGTTGTGTGAATTGTTTTATTTATTAAATTAGTCTTTCTTTGGGTTTCAATGTGTAATAGCAGTGGTTTATTAAATGTTTAGTACCCGTGAAAGGGCAAAAATGTGGAAAAATGAAACAAAGCCGCCGCGCTGGGTGTAGTTTCCCAGGATCTTCCAAAAAGTCTCAGTAAATAACCATATCACTCAGACTATACTTCCTCCCAACTCATCTTGTTTCATTTACTTTCATCCTAATTGATTCATATTTCAAATTAATTAATTTAATTTAATTTAATTTCGTTCTCTTCATTTTTCATAAAAAGGAACAAATTGGTTGTAAGGTGATACTTTCGCCTTTCCAGTTAGAAAAAGGGAAGTACTACCACTTGACATATTTCTCAAATTGTCACCAATGATTACAAAATTTACCTTCAATAATTAAACTGTTTTTATCTGATTGTTACTGGCCTACAATTATTGGGGTTTTATAAATTTATTAGATAAATTGAAATATTTAAACTATCACAATGACAATGGGCGATGAATTGCCTGTGACTTCTTTGGTATTACCAGTTTTAATTCGCCCTGTCCTAACGCAGGTGAGTCGTTCTAAATCTACTTACATGTATTAAAATATGACCTTATCATTTTAGGCATTCTAATCAAGTAACTTAACTATCAACTAGTTTCTTGGTAACCTCAACAAGACCCAATATCAGAATTAATAAGATAAATTGATCTTGTATCTTTTGTTTTACAGTCGTTAATAATAAAGAAACCACTGTAATATTGCTTTCATAACTTTATTCATATTTTGTTACTGGTTACTGGAGTTCTTAGAAAAAATATCATGAATACTGTTGCCCTAAACTTCAAGTCTCAATTGCCTGATACAAAAAGTTATCCGAGCAGGATAACTGACAGCAAGATAAAGCAGACATTGTTATTTCTTGGAAAAAATAAAATGGTACATGTGTGTTCATTTTGATCAATCGTCGTCTTAGATTAGGTAGCAAATAGACGCAAAATGATAGGAATTTAAGGATGAAAATGGTGAAAATAGTAGTACTGTTATAGGAAAGGTAAGTATTAATAGTAGTATGTATTTTGTCGACCCAAGCAAAGTCGATAGCCAGATAGACTATTATTAATATTATTTTCCCACCTAAAGTATGTTTTAAAATGTGTTTTCAGCTGGAGAAATATGATCTGGCTGCCTCTCAGACATTACGAGCAGCTCTCACCAAAGCAGAGGCTGCAGTACCTGGTCTTAATTATGATTTGGTGGCAGGAATCATGAGGAGAGCAGATATTCCTGTTAATATGAATGAGAGCTTATTAAGATTACAAGGGAGTCTCACAGATTCAGAATGTATGAATTTATATTTTTTTGTATTTAGTTAACTTACAAGTTTATGATACTATTTAAAAAACCTTCAAGTTATGAAAACTGACCATTTTTCAAAAATAAAACGATAAAGACAAGATTAAAAAACAAACGATTTTACAATGTAATCTCAAGAAAGTTCTATTTATAGGTACTGATTTAAGGCTGAACAGGACTGAAGAGGCATTTCAGGAGCTTAATAAGAAATCTGCTGCTTTGAAAAAGATACTGAGTCGCATTCCAGATGAGATAACTGATCGGAAGACTTTTCTTGAGACTATCAAGTATGTGCTGTAGAAAATGCAATATTTGGTTGTATTCTTTAATATATCAACACTTGAAAGGCAAACATGACTAAGTGACAATGCGTGTACTTTACAGTAGACCAATTTAAAGCTTAAATACCTGAAAAAAATCTATTTTATTGAATCTAGCTGTAGGATTGAAATGTTTTTAATATACCTAGAAATATATATATTTTGCGCATCAAATATGGTTATTACCTATCATTTATGTACAAAGCAGTTATTATCGCTTACTCACATTTGCCTTTCAAGCGTTGGTATAATAATCAACATTGTAATAACCATAGTATATAATTTAACAGGGAAATAGCCTCTGCCATAAAAAAATTACTGGATGCTGTAAATGAGGTATCTACATATACTCCAGGTCCTGGGAAGCAAGTATTAGAACAGAGGAAAAGAGAATTTGTAAAATATTCAAAGCGATTTTCTACTACACTCAAAGAATACTTTAAAGAAGGACAGTGAGTATTTATGTCAATTAGTTACAATCGGAGATCCATTGTTTTTTATTTTTATTGCATTAGAGCAGTGATTCTGAACCTTTTTTTTGTTGCGGCACATATTTAACTATTTCAAAATTTGGCAGCACACAAAGAAAAAGATAAGAATTATTTACTTACTACCGAATCACATACATTTGCCAATTTTAACGAAAGATAAGGTGCAGTAACTACTATGCAACACCTTGTGAATCCCAACGATCACTAAAACAACACGTTTTGTACGAAAAAGTGGCAAGTGTGCGCCGACTTGAGACATATTCCTATTGCTATGCACGCCGCTTCATCATAATTTGGCACTAAGAAAAACCGCATTGCAAAGCAAATAATAAAATAATTTATTTTTTTGTGGATTTCAATATATACCTAGTCAGGTCAAAAATTCTGTCACATGTTTAATGTAAAATAATTGAAACAAGTTTATTCATTATGTAACCATTCATATACCAAAATGAACTTAACAAAACATAGATTCTTATGACACTAAAGTTTATTCAAAATGACCTCCGTGATTTTGAATACAGGCCTTCAATCTGCGCGGCCAGTCGCCTATCGCAGCACGAACGAGGTCCATGTCAATATCGGCGGCTGCCTTAATCAAGGATGTCTTGAGTGACTCCAAATTGGGATAAGGCTTTGAGCACGCCTTTTCCTCCAAGTGTTGCCATATCTTGTAATCTAACGGATTCAAATCTGGACTGGAGGAGGGCCAGTCTTCGTGCCGGATGAAGTCGATTTCACGCGCCGTCAGCCAGTCTTGTGTGCTCTTCGCTCTATGAGCTGGCGCCGAATCTTGTTGGAATACCCAGTGCCTGTTATTGAACATGGTATGAGNAAAATCTGGTTTATTCATGATGTTTTTGTCTAGAACTTTTATTCAAAATTATCAATGTGTTATTTTATTGTTTGGTAAATATTTATATTATCAGTTACGTATTGTTTTCTATTTTTAGATATGCCTCGCGTGTACATATCAAAGAGTGCAAAGCCTATATATTATCCCTTAATATTAAAAACAGCAATTGGGCAATTGCCTAATTAGGAATAAGTCTTTAGTTGAAATAGCTAAGCAATTTAATATAAGTAAGTCGATTTTACACAGACATGTAATAAGAACAATGAAATCTCAAGGTGGAGAAAATGTCTAAGTAATACATAATAAAATATTAAATATTTGTTCATAATGTCAGTTTTTCAATGTCTTTTATTGATGATCACTTTGTTGGTGCAACTAAATAAATAAATAAATTAAAACCAAGTAGCAAATTTCTCAACCCTAGCAAATTTCTCATTTCGTCCCAATTAACCGCAATTTTCGGGTAAATAGGGATTACACCTATTTTTGCTTTTTTTGCTTAAACTGGAATGCTAGTTGCATAGTTTTAAATTGGACAATAAAGATGCCCCCAAGACTCAATCATTTTGATCCTGATAGAGCATTATATACATCAACAACTACCTTAAAATTGGTCATAAAGTTGGAATTTGTCCCTAATCGCCCCATTTTACCGGTATACATTTTTATTTTCATGAACAATTCGAAATTCGAATTCAATAAACTTTTTTGTGGCCAGCATTCTAAAAGAAAAGTTTTTACTGTGTGACAATACTTATAACCTGACTAGTTATATATTCATGTTAAAAATATTTTTCTTTTGAAATGGTATAATTTAATAATATGAACATTATTATATATTTGCAAAATTTGGCGGCACACTTTTGAAATTTGGCGGCACACAAAAGTGCCGCGGCACAGTGGTTGAGAATCACTGCATTAGAGGGAGAATGAGCTTATGTGGTTACTCGAGCTCATTATAATATGAAAACCAGCACTTACCTTGAGACATGAGAACCATATATAAGTAGGCCATATCTAACATAAACCTTGCTATAAATATAAAATGCCATTGAAACTTTTACCACCTGGACCCACTAAGATCATTCACAGTCTATTTTTAAATATTGTTTGCTTTGTACTATTTGGATCTAGAATTAAATCCACTCCACAGTATTTCTTGAGTACTAAAATATGCTCTTGAAATGAGGTTTGAAATAGTAATCAGTGATAATCATCAACATTTGTCTGTGCCTCTGTCGTGTCTGATGTGCATGAATGATTTTGATCAGGAAACAGGTGGACTGTATGTTACTGAAAAAATTACACATGAGGAAATATCTTAAAATTAACCACCACCACCACCATTAAATTAACCAAATTATTTTACAATGTTTCAAGTAAAATTTATAGAAAATGTGTTAAATATCTGTTGTTTAAATCTTTTTCAGAGCAAATGCTGTTTTTGTGAGCGCTCTTTATTTGATTCATCAAACAAATCAGATACTGTATACAGTAAAGAGCAAGACTGAGTAATATGTGAAAAATGGAAATAGATGTTGATTCTATGGCGCTCTTGCAAAGAACTTACTAGAAAATTACTCTCACTAATGCCTATGTTGTTAAACAAAAAAAAAACACTTTTTCTTCATATCACCTGATGTCTTCGAAAATTGTTTTTAAAAATCACACATTAAGCTGTTTAAAGGAATTGGGAAAATGCTGTTTTTAATTATGAATAAAAAAGCTGATTTTATGTTTGACGAATAGTTATCTTGATGGTCACTTAATTATTAAAAAACTCTATATATGTAGTTCAAAAATATTGAATTTTTGAACTAGACTTTTTTAAATTTAATTATCACATACATGGAAATGGGATTTTACAACAGCTCGAAAACCACTCGCCTGTCCATCTTCTTGGTGGGATTATTATTCCTGCTACCCTAACAATTCTAAACAGTTGATTAATCTTCTTATGCAACAACAAAGGGATCTTGAGGTGCCAAAGTATTTTGCCTCATAAACTGCGGTTGAATTCCGTTCCAGTAGAACGCAAGCAGCTGGCTCAAACAGAGGACCATCAGTAGAATCTGTAACTTAAAAATTATTAAAAGGACTGTAACTTGTTATGCCACTGTCGCCACTGACCACTGTATGTAACAATATTTCTTTTAGTATTGTCCTTTCCTGTACATTTTCCTGCCCAGGCTGATAGTTGTGCTTTTGTGTACCTACTGTGTGATCGATTTGCATAGCCAGCTGTTGAGCAGAGAAACAATCTGTTCATGACTTATCCCTATGATGTTTGAGTGTTTTCCTACTAGTTCATCCGCAGCGTCATTTCCCCGGGAGCCCTTGTGTCTAAATTTAGATTCATTGGACAGCAGATCAAATTCAAGAAATAAGCTTGAGGTGATGCCATAGCCATTTAAGTGTTACAGAACAAATTTGTTGTCTGAAAGTTCTTCTATTTATAATTAAAGGTAAAGTGTAAAATGACTACATATGACGTACATTACAGTGTTCATAAATTGTTTTTAAATTATGTACTTACTATGCTCGTTAATCTTTTCTATATTAAAATTTTAAAATAATTTTATTCAGAAGGCTATTTAAAAAAAAAAGGCGAAGACTTGAGAGATGATGATGATCCCTTTGTTAGAATATTTTGAGACAGATAAAAAATAAAATTTATATTTCATAATTTCCCAACTAAATCTGTAGAATGTATTATTCCACCTCATATCTCAAGATCGTTAGCAGCATTCGAACTGTGGTGTTTGTAGACCACTCAAAATCTGTTCAGTAGAAAAATAATAAAACACAGAAGACAGGAGAGGGGCGGGAGATAGAAGACAGGAGTACACACGTACAGCAAGCCAAATTTCTCTTTCATAGCTAGTCGAAAATTACACTTGCATTTTTCATTTCATTTTTAGTTCTAGCTGTGTGGTAAAACTAATGTGATTTTAAATATGTTGGTTTTCTCTATGGGTTTGTTTCTATATTTTAATGAATAAAAATAATTCATCATTGTATGTTTTAATAGTACTCAATTAATATTTAGATCTAAAAATATTGGGAAAGTTATTAAATGTATCCATTCATTACATAAATTAAGTCCTAGACTATACATTTAAATCATTGTTTATGCATTATATTAGTATAACAGATTGCTAAATAATAATATTTAGAATTATAATATTACTTGTTTTAATTTGTTTGTTTTATTTTGAACCGGTTTGAATGTCTTCGTTTTGAAGAAAAAAGAAAAAAATGTTTAAGTATGAATACAAAAGAAGTATAAAGGGACTTCATGAAGGGAACCTTTTTAATTCTACGGTTTTGAACAAAGCGTCACTTAATCGTTTGATACTTTTGGATAGGCTAAGGTATAAATGCGATTAAGATAAGCTAATCCTGTGGTTACCCGTTTTTCTAGCTGGTTACAAATATTAACTACGTATTCAAGAATGATTTCTATGATCGAAGAGTTTGTTGAATTTTGTGTACTAAAAATGAAACGAAAAAAAAAGAATGTGAGCTCGCACGAGTGCCTATGTAGGTACCACTATCTATTTCGGTTGGAAAAAAATTATGAAGGGTGAGCCAGCAGTTATACTATAGAATTGAGGCTTTCACCTCTTTGTCTGTATGAGGGTGACGTTTTTCACGTTGTGATGTCTATGGGCTACTGTAAGTTTTTAATATGCTCTACCCACTTATAGGAATGTGGCGGGTAGCCATCATACAACACAAGATATTTGATAGATGCTTGAATCTCGCTTACAATATTTTCAAGATAAACTTGCATAAATATGCAATGAATGTAGTAGGTAGGTAGGCAGCGGCTTGGCTCTGCCCCTGGCATTGGTGAAGTCCATGGGCGACGGTAACCACTCACCATCAGGTGGGCCGTATGCTCGTCTGCCTACAAGGGCAATAAAAAAAATACAGGCTCCGAATAACAATATTCGGACCGCGACGGTCCATAAATAATACACTTAACACTTATGACGTCGGTCTACCGAGCGATATTCCCGCTCGGTGGATCGTCCCTTTGTCGTATATCCCCAAAAGAAAACATAAAACACTAATAATGAATCTCCGTATTCATGTATCATTATTTTTACGGGATTCGTCTCTTGATCCAAGTTACAGTCTGTTACAGTATAATCAGATGACTACGAGCCAAAGGAACTTACTTTGGGAATTTATTGCTTTGTTATTTTTTTAGGAGATGAAAGTTGAATTTGACATTTGTAGATGTTTTCTTTAAACGTACCTTGTTGAGTATGTTAACTGATTTGATAGTTAAATAAATTAAGATAATTTAGTCAAAATGAAAATAAAATAAAATTGGGTGCACTCTTATTATGCAGTTAGAGTGGTTAGATCTTTTGATTAGATAATCTATACAGTTATATCTAGATGTATAGATAAAAAAACTATAGGGAGAAAATGTACTGGAAGTTTTTTAAATATGTATTTAGCAATAGTCACAGCGGAACGAGGCCGGACTTACTAGTAATAAACACAACAAAAACAGTAAAATGTATATTTAATAGATAATAATATAAATAATTACGTAAGTTACAATGTTTACGGATTTGATTTTTATTCGGTTTGATCATTAATTCATTCGTGAGCATGAGTTGAGCGTTGAGCACGTATTTCCTCAAAAAAATTTAGTACTCGCCCACAGGATTTGAACATCGACATAGTTGAATTGTTCGATACGAGTACCCGTCTCGGCGACTTATCTTTTAGGCTTTTTTTATCCTACGTAAGCTGATGGTCTTGAGAGGCCATTTCGGCGTAACCCTAACAAGTAGGTGAGCTCACGGGGCTCAAACCCGACGACGTTGCTAACACTAACCCTAGCAGGGAGCAGTGCTTTGCAGAATCTACAATCGGATCGGAAACGCGACCCACTGAGAAGATTGGCGAGAAACTCAGTGAGCTGTGTTTGTGGGTTAGTTGACTCGCCGAGCCCTTCGTCGCAAGCGACGGGCTCAACGAGAACGATGACCGGTGCTCGGGGTGCCTAAAAGCACCATTAGTGAATCGGGAGGATCCGAAATGTCGTGTTTTGGGCGACGTTTATCATTCGGTCAGCAGGATCGGGAATGTAGTTACCGACGGCCACGATGAGAGGGTTCTCGTGTCGCGCTGCTTTTTCGAAATGGCGCACTGATGCCGACTGTAGATACTTACTGATGGACTCTAGGTCCATGTCATTGTGGAGGTCTACGTTTCTGATTTACCACGGGGGTCCGGCGGCTATCCTGCAAAAGCGGGATTGTATGATTTGGAGGGGTTTCAAGTTAGTCCGGGCCGCGTGAGCGAACGCTATACTTGTATAGATCATGACCGGACGTATACAAGTTTTGTAGATTGTCACCTTATTTCTACGGGACAATTTACTTCGCTTGCAGATCATCGGATAGATCTATTAGACCGCGACTTAACTTTAGGTAGTAATATTTATAAATGTCATTCATTTGAAATATTTACATTGTATTGGTATCAGGTTCTGCTCGTCGTTTTATTATTCTAAATTGTAATTTAGTAGGCAGCTGTTTGGCTGCTATTGTTGATAAAATGAGCTACAATGACTATTTGCCACCAGGTTGGTCGTCTGTTTGTCTATCTACAATGGCAATACAAAATTTCTATGTCTTATGGGTATTTGAAGAGTCCTTAATGTTGTAGTTTATAGGATGTTCATCTAGAATCAAGTTCCACTAACTGTTTTTTTACGACGTATCTTTAGGTATCATATGCCATGACAAAGTGGGACCATTGTAATTCTGTTAATACATCACATGATATAGAACCGAGATTCATTGCACATAAATAAAATTAAAGTGCTCACAATAAATTGATCTTTGTTCGTTCCATTATAAATTGTGATACATACGAGAAAAGACACTTGACCCGTCAAAATAGAGAATTATTCAGTGTGATGACAAGATTAGCATCGATTTGCCTGTCGATTGTCGCGGTAAGACGCCATTGCATATGTGACTGTGTCCCGCTGCCCGACCCCTCTCTCCTTCAGCCCCAGCTCCGCAGCAGATGCTCCATTAATATTTCATCACGCATATCTTTGGGCATATTATGTAGTCCGATGGCTATACTGTCAAGCGTTTCATCGACACATCTGTCTGCTGAAACATGGAAATTTATCACTTCTGAAAACATTTAGGGAAATTTATGTGGTACCTATCGATGTCTATCAACATCTTCCTAGATTTTCTATTCATTGAACAGGAAATCTAGACCGTCTAATTAATTATACATGCATGCGTCTGACACTTACAGTCAACAACCGTATTTTATGAGCGTGTTTAAAGATGCATCGATCGATAACATTTGTCTGAATATTTGCTGAAATTTTTGTGTATTATTTATATTTACATAATTTTATAATTTTAGTACGTTTACAATGCGTGTAAGCGATCTACGAATAAGTGAAATTTCTATTTCGTGGATTCTTTATTATTCGAAAAGAATTCAGTTAAATTTTAGGTACATAAAATAATTCAAAGTGAATTTTGATTCAATCTGTCCTATCAAAAACTTTAATTAATTAACTATATTACAGGCAAGTAAGTGATTCTATCTAGATTACATTGTAAGAAATATATCAGAGATTAACATCTGTTTTTCAATGGATATTGCGGCGGCCTGTTGGTGATATTAACGCCATCCGTTCTGAATTAAATACAACAAATCGTCGTTGAACTTTCATGCATTCCGTTCTGTATAATGGAGCAATCCGATCTGTATAAATCACGATAACAATTTTAGTTACCGAATGATAATATGTTCAATAACAAATGCTTTGTTTTTGCAACGAGAACGGAGATTGATGTGCAGCAATTACGGGATGCTCCGGGACAAATACATTTAAAATGTGTTGTATTGTCAACTAGCTTTTTTGAAGTCTACTATGCTAATTCTTGACTTGAAATTTATGTATTGTCTGTAGATACATCCATCGTTCCGCTTGGAGATTTATAATATGTGGTAAATTTCAAAGTTTGACTCGTGCAAGACGTGCAAGTTTTATTATATGTGATTAAATGACACTAAATTTGTGATTTACAAGTCCTTCAGCCTGAACAAAAAAGTCAGTAATATAATTAAAACCGTGAGCGCTCGTGAACACTCGTGCTATCTTATGATTATCAGAATAAAATTCATAACAAGTACGTTCTGAGGTCCTCCTGCTACTGCATACATGGATACGAGCGTTGGCTTTTTACTAGTTTTTACATCATATATTTATAATACATACGAGTATTATGATTTAAGCCTTATTTTTCCTAATACTGAAAATACTCATTCAGAAAATTACTACATTGTTTTGCTGTATTCAATTTATTTAATGACTAGTTTGAAATAGTTAATACTATGCCATGTTTTGAATTTCACTATTGGGGGTTTACCTTGAATTTTCTTTTTCAGAAAATTAGAAAACTTAAGGAGCATCATTTGTATAATCATTACAATATGCATATGCAGTACCTTAGTTCTGCCCCTGGCGTTGCTGATGTTCATGAGTGAAGTGACTACTTCTCATCAGATAGGCCGTTTGCTCGTCTATTTAATAAAGTTGACGATTTCTCCCGATAAAAGTTTTTTAATTCAGCAATTAAGATAAATGCTGACGTGAGCAAAAAGCTCTATTCGCTTAGTGAAGAATAAGGATACACTCTGCTTTTTCATATTTCCTTAATTCGCAAGGCGACTCGAAGATATACTACTCAAACCCCGCGTTGTCTCGAAGCCATAAAACCTCTGAAGCTGTTGATTATTAATCACGCCACTTTACATTCATTACAGACAAAAACTTTATACTAAATGAAAAAAAAAACAGATTTTTTTCTTTGTGAATGTTATTTTTGTGTTAAAGGATCGCTAGCATTGTCTACCTGTCTTCATTTCGGAAGCGGTTCCAGAATAATATTAAAGGTGATTTAAGAAATGTTCGAGTCTACCCGGAATATTTTAACATATTTTCTATTTTTGTAACGAAACAGTAAAAAGCAAATGGGAGGGTAGGACAGTAGTTTACCTATGAAATGAAGATCTCACATCTAGGAATTCATACGTTGAAGTTCATTAACGTCAGCCGAAGCTGTCATCACGAAAGTTCCCACTCCGTAGTAG